AGTAGTCCCCATCCCACGCCCTCTCCCCAGCCCAAGAGGCGAAATGAGAACAGAAGGAGTAAATGCTGTGCTCTCACTGATGGATGACAGCTAGGGTCAGGAAACACAAGATCTTTATCTGCTAATGGTGACACTGGGGCTACTTGGGCATGGATAATCCCAAACAGTCAATATCCTTAAAAAATGATGAGGAGGTTTGCTATCTAGCTTTGGAAGATTCACTGTCACAATTCTATTTTCCAGTGACTGATACTAAAATGACTCTATATTATTGGCTTACTGAGGAATGCTGGATTTCAGGGCTGGCTGGCCTGGGATTAAACATGAAGACAGGGGTTAAACATCGACTCATCTGAAGATCTGCAGATGGGAGCAGGGAGCTGGCAGTAAATAGCAGTGATAGGCATTTCATCTGTGCACTCTTTTCTCACGCATCTGGCAAAAGCCACATGCATAAGAACCATCCATAGTCAGTGATGTTGGAAGAGCAATGGAGATCTGGGGAAGGACTGTGTGGCTTAGGCCTCCCCTTCTCTATCCGTGGCTGGGTCAACCCAGGGTCTTGGAGCATCAAACTAACAACACCAACCTGAAGAGTTGGACTTGTGTGTGCTTGTGTACTTGGTCCTCTCCAATCCCTGGATCAATCAAAGGTGCAAATGGAAGTCATTTGCTGCCTGTGGAAACACAATTCAAAAGATTCACTGGGGGGCCGGCCCCATGGCGTAGCGGTTAAGTGCGCACACCGCGCTGCTGGCAGCCTGGGTTCAGATCCTGGGCGCGCACCGAGGCACTGCTTGCCAGGCCGTGCTGTAGTGGCGTCCCATATAAAGTGGAGGAAGATGGGCACAGATATTAGCCCAGGGCCAGTCTTCTTCAGGAAAAAGAGGAGGATTGGCGTGGATATTAGCTCAGGGCTGATCTTCCTCACAAAAAAAAAAAAAAAAAAGATTCATTGGAAGAGTGAAGGCTTTGAGAACTGGAGGAAAATGCCCAATGCTGGGAGACCTCGGTTCTCAACTCACCTATGCCATTACCTCACCTTGCAAAATTGGGCAAGTCATTCCTCTTCTGTGTCCTTGCTTCTTCATTGATCAGTGGGAAATCACTCTTTGTTTTGAAAGCCTGTGCTGTCCCATTCATTTGAAGCTGAATCATAAGCACCTATTAGATGCCAGCCACTGCACAAATCATACTTAATCTTTATACCATACTTATGCGGGAAGTATAATTAGCCCATTTTATAAATGAGAAAACATTTTTATGTTTATAATGTAAACGTATAAACATAAACATATAATGTTTATGTTTATAATGAAAAAATGTTTATAACATTTTGTAAATGAGAAAATGTCTCTGAGGTTCAGAGACATTAAATAACTTGTCGACGGTCCCCTTGCTAGCAGCTGGCAGGGCTTGGATGTGAACCCAGGGCATTCTGGGTCTGGAGCCTGTGAGCGCTCCACGAGGCTGCGCTGCCACTTCGTGCTGGCTAGCCTGGCTGGTGTTGCTCCTTGGCAGCGGTGCGTGGGGGTGATGACTCCTCCATTAGACCACATGCCCTTGGGGAATGTGGATGAACACTCCTGCATGTTTTGAATATCCCTGGACCTCAAACTAGTCACGGACATAGTAGATGCTTGTGGTGGGCTGAAAAATGGCCCCCCAAAGACATGTCTACCTCCTGAGCCCTGGAGTCTGTAAATGTTACCCTATTCGGGAAAAGGCTCTTTGCAGATGTGATTCAGATCATAATCTTGAGATGAGGAGATCATCCTGGATCATCCGGGTGGACCCTAAATGTCCTTATTAGAGAGAGGCAGAGAAGCATTTGAGACACACACGGAAGGCAGCACAAGCACAAGGGCAGAGAGTGGAGTGCTGCAGCTACAAGCCAAAGAACGTCAGCAGCCGCCAGAAGCTAGAAGAGGCAAGGGACAGATCCCCCAGAGGGAACATGGCCCTGCCCACACCTTGACTTCAGACTTTTGGCCTCCAGAACTGAGAGAGAATACATTTTTGTTGTTTTAAACCACCAAGGTTATGGTAATTTGTTACAGCAGCCACAGGAAACTAATGCAGTGCTCAATCAGAACACAGAATCCTAGAACTGGAGAAGCCTTGGAAACCATTTGGCCCAGCCTCCCATTTAACAGATAAAACTGCAGCCCTGAAGGGGGAAGTGATTTGGCAAGTGTCACACAGCAAGTTAGAGGCAGAGCCGGAGCCGGGACACAGAGCCCCCAGACCAGGGCTCTGCACTTCCCCGCACTGACTAATGCCAGTCCTAGAGCCGTGAAAGTCAAATGAGAAGCTGTTCTTCTGGTTATTATATTCTTCTCATATTATTATTTTAAAAGGGAGGGGGAGCTTTTAAGCGGATGAAGTGACATAAGTTTTGGAAGGTACAATGACTGCTTTTACCGTCATTGTTATTGAATTGGGCAGTGGCCCCTCTCGGCTGATCCCTCCTCCCCGATGACTGGGATGTGTAGGGCCACTGAGTTCCAGATGGGGAAACCACAATGAGAGAGGGGAAGCTGGTAACTCCAATCACACCACTAGCATGTGGCTGGGCCCAAAATAGGACGCAGGGTTTCTGCTTCCTGGCTCTTCCCCAGGTTCCACTTCTCATGTTCCCCTTTCCCTGAGCTGGACCAGCGGGCTAGGTGGGCTTCGGCTATGTGTGTGTGTGTGCGCGTGCATGTGTGTGCCCGTGTACGCACATGTGTGTGTCTGACACAGTCTGCTAAGATAGTTTTGGGGACTCCTGGGAACACACACCAGGACGTGATCTAGGAAACTCCCCACCATCATAGAGTGAGGAGCGGGGAAGGGAATCTGGGGTCCCCGCAACAATATGAGAAGCAGCTGTTTCGTGGATGGGCCTCCATGAACCCCTGCCAGCCCAGACCACTAGACACAAGTTACCCCCTGCTTTGGAGAATGTTAGTTAATGAGGAGTAAGAAAACAAAATCTACAAATATCTTGATAATCCAGTTCCAAAGGAGAAAGGTATAAAACGGAAACCTTGAAAGAAGCTATAATCCGGTAGACCGGGCTTGTTCCATCACTGTCCCCACACCATCTCCCTCTCCCCTCATCCTCCCACCTGATGTAGACCTTGGAACTGGGGAGGAGAAGGACTGCTGAGGGGGACGAAAGACCACTTAGCTATTGATGCAACTTTGTGCCCTCCCACTCACCACCATGGGGCTTAGTTTGGGGTTGCAGTTGGGGAGAGGAGATTGACAATGACGGAGAGATCCAGAAGGGTTTGGAGATGCCGGAGCCAAGGGGGCCTGCACCTTACTTGTCCTGTACAGGACTGTGGTGGCCAGCAGTCTTGCCAATATCCACTGCAGCCCCGGTTACATGGGAACACTGGAGCACAGAGGCCACAAGGAGTTCTAGGGGAGAATGAGGCTCTGTGCACAGGATCTCCCAAAGGCTCAGGAAGGATGCAGATCAGCCAAACTTACCCTGCACCCACAGGAACGGCAAGGAAGGGCCGAGGGGGCCTGGAAGTCCCAGCCAAAGGAGCCCAGAAGTAGGAGAGCCGAGTGGACCAGACCTCTCCAGATGAACAGGCATAAAGGCCGGATACTGCAGGACAAGTTTCATCCCAGAAGACAGGAAGACTTCCTTCTGGAGCATGAAGCCAACACAGCACTGTGACAAAGCAGACCAAAGTAATGGGGCACTCCTTCCAAGCACCTCGACAGTAAGCCACCCCTCACCCATGCCCACTTACCGCAGACTTAACACAAGCCCCAGAGGGGAGAAGGGAGACAAAAAGGAGAGGAAATCCTGAAGGGGACAGAGTTTTAAATCGGGACTGAAGTGACTGAGATATCGTTGAATTGGAACTAGTTTGCCTGGAAGTGACTAGGCAATTTTTTTCTTACATCAGTCAGATTTTGGGTTTAGGGTCTGAAATTAAGCTCTGTAACAGAAAATACGGGTTCTTTTCTTACCAACAAATCTATGATTGTGGCTTGATAGCCACCCGTAAGTGAGTGGTTAGCTAAAATAAGACCAAGGCTCTGACTGCCCTGTGTTTTTCCGGGGCTCTATTTCTCCTTTCCTCCTTCCCCTTCGGGGTTGGCCTGCAGGCTGCTGTAGGGAGAGCCTGGTCAGCCCTGAACAGGTAGGATGGGGCAGGCTTCTGTGTGGGGCTGTGGTGAGGGGTGGGGGCATATGTGTGTGTTGGGAGTGGGCTTCATTCACATGATGCAGGGCTGCTAAAATCATTTGGAGAACGCCTAGGAGCCCTAACCAGGTCATGTCCGGGAGACCTCCAAGGACCAGCTGAGGTAGGGAAGGAGGTTTCTACCCTAGCTGGACAGATCAGTGCCCTCTTTGCTGTGGCACCAAGCCCAGTCCCAACAAGACTCCAAGGTCCTCCACTTTCAGGGAGCACAGAAGCAGCCAGAGTCTTTAGTTCCCACAGGGAGTGCAAAGGGAAGGCCACGGCCCCCCAGGCTGCTGGAAGTGCTGGGGCTGGTGAAAGGGGGTCTGCAGAGGATGCGTAAAGAGTGGACTTAATCCAGGCTAAGTGTCCTAGGGAGTGGAGGGCGATGTTCCCCAGTGAGTGGGGATGTGGACCAAGGACTGAGGGCCATTCCTGCCACCTGTGCCCCATCGAATGCACATCAATTTCATGCCATGCCCTGGGCCAGGTGTTTCACATCTGATATCTGGTTATATCTTCTCCCTGTAGGGTTGATATTACTATCCCTATTTTCCAGACGAAAAGAAATAGGAAAGTGACTTGCCTAGGGTCTTGCAGCTAGAAAGCAGCAGAACAGGCTCTTCGCGTTTGATACTCTGTCTCGCATCCTGCAGCTGCAAAGACGGAGAATCCCCAATAACAGAGTCTCCCCAAGGTCAAGGGGAAGCAAATGGAGCCAGCTAAGGAAGCCAAAAGGAAAGATCTGTGAGAGTCACGTGCCCCTGGCTGGCCGCCATGGCTGGGGGTGAGTGTCCCTTTAAGAGCCCAGGTGTGGGTCCAGCACTGCACAGTTTCAGTTTTGGCAGCAGCAGCCCGTGTCCTGCTGGCGACTTCTAGAAAGGCAGGGGTTGCCGACTGGCCGACAGGCTGTGCCCCGACGCCGGGTCGACTGGGGAGAAGGAAGTGGTAAAAGTAAGTGTGGCTGCTCTGGGATCCTCGAGGGGATGCCATCAGGGAAGGACCCAGGGATGGTGGCTCAGGCGATCACCTACATCCACAGCTCCCAGCCTACAGAGAGTGGGTGAGGAGGACGAGGGCGGCAGCCCATGTCCTGACCATGTGGTGGGGTGCAGAGGTCTGCATCCAAGGGAGAGTAAGGACATGCTGTGTGGAGGCCCCCACCCCTTTTCTGTGAAATATCAGCAGGCAGGAAGCAGGAATGTCTGTGCTCAGCATGTGTGGTTCTTCTGTAAGTTTGGTCCCTGAATTCCTTACCAGCTGCTCCATAGAGTGTGTGACCTCGGGCAAGTCACCTAATCACTCTCTGAGCCTCAGTTTCTTAATCTGTAAAATGGGTATATAAATAACACCTATCACTCAGGGTTGATATGAGGTTCAGATGAGAAAATATGTGTGAAGTTGCTTTGTAACCTGCAGAGCAAAATCACAATTGTTTGGTGTTTTTCAATTTACTTCAATTACTCACGGACTTACTGAGCCCCGGACAGGCGCGGATAAGATAATGCACATCAAGTGCTTACACATAGCAGGTTCTCTTCTAGTCTTTGAAGCTTTCCACCTCCAGCTTTCTGGTGCAGGCACGTGCAGCCCCTTTTTCTGGGCTTCAGAGAGGCTCTGAGATCCTATCCCACTTCAACCCCTCTTTGCTCCAGCAGATTCCCGTCACACTGAGGCGTAGTGTGTCATCACATTGTCCTGTCCTTGCTATGGCGGGAAAAATGAGGCCCTCCCAGGGTAAGTGAGTGACGTGGCAGAGCCCCATCCCAGGTGCAGGCAGTGTTCCCAAGTCCTGATGCTCCTCCTGGCTCTGCAGCGAGGAGGCCTCAGACTTAGGCCTCCCCTCCCTCCGTGCTCTCCCCTTGCCCATCCTCATTGCATCCCCATGCCAGCCCTGGGACCCCCCGGCACAGACCACAAGCGCAGCAGCTGTGCAGGCTCCATCCCCCACGACCCCGGTTCCCTTTGAGCAACTGCCCCAGGCCTGTGGCCACCCAAGCTGTTTTGCATCATCACTCTCCACGCTCACTAGGGGAATTACAGGTTCCTTAACATCTGGAGAGAGGATATGCCAATTCATGGGTTCGAGTAGAAGGCAGCTGTCGGGTCTGCCCAGAGCCAGCTCTGGAACTCTCCATCCATCCTTTTCCCTGGCCCTGGGTGTGGTGATGTAGCAGAAAGAGCAACGAACCAGGAGTCAGGAGAGCAGCTAGCTCTGTGGTCATTGCTGGTCTCTTCCTCTGTGGCTTTATTTTATAAGTAGTGCGATAGCAGCAGCTTCCGTGGAGTAAATCCACTTAGCCCGGGCACTCACAGCTTCATCTCATTCCCACCTGAAACAACCCTGGGAAGGAGGCAGGGGAGGTATCATGACCCCATTTTATAGTGGAGGAGGGCCGGCCCCGTGGCTTGGTGGTTAAGTGCGCGCACTGCGATGCTGGTGGCCCGGGTTCGGATCCCAGGTGCGCATCGAGGCACCACTTCTCCGTTCATCCTGAGGCCGAGTCCCGCATACAGCAACTAGAAGGATGTGCAGCTACGACATACAACTATCCACTGGGGCTTTGGGGGGAAAAAATAAAATCTATAGTGGAGGAAACTGAGACTCCGTGAGCTAACGTGAGTGGTGTAGGGCCACCCAGTGAGTATGAACGATGACATTTTGGTGCAGCCATTTTGATACGGTCTTGGGGACTTCCGACATCACCTAAAAAACAGAATACCCAGCTTTTTTTTTGTAAAATAAAAAAAAGTTGTATTAGCCATGCATGTGCTCAGCAGAGACCTCCTTCATCTATGTTTTACCCTCTCTCTGGGTGGGCTGGGGCTGGAGTCCCAAAGTCACTGGCACAGACACAGGGTGATGGAGTAGAAAGAAGCTTTAGAGGCAAGGTGTCTGATCAGAAAACAAACGCCACATGCCCTACACAAGGTAGGTGCTAAATAAATAGCAGCTATTACTATTTTTCAGGAAGAAATTTTCTGTTGGCACCTACCTCTGGGTTCGAGTGTCTCTTCACAGGAACTACCTTCCCTGTGAAAGGCAGAGAGGAGAGAACTGGACTAATTTCTTCTCTAAGACTGGGTTTCCTGCTCCCTCCTCTCCCAACTGCTTCCTCTCAACCTCAAGACCCTCTGCAGTATAGCACAGTGGCTACGAGCTTATGCTCTTGACCCAGAGTGCCTGAATTTGAATCCCATTGCAGTCACTCGCCTGCTGTGTAACCTTGGGCAAATTTCTTACCTCTCTGTGCCTCAATTGTCTCATCTGTGAAATGGGCTTGCCCATTTTACCTACCTCCTTGGGTGGCTGCTAGGGAAGATTAAATGTTAACAAGTAAAGCACTTGAAAATAACTCAGCATGTGCTAGCTATAATTATTATCCCCCACTTCTACCCTAGTCCATACTGCATGTCTCTTCCTTCAGGCCATGCTGGTCCAACCTGAACAGCTCACCCCCAGTCTTCAACGATGCCCAATAAACAGACTTCTGGTCTCCTCTCACCCTAAGACAAGAAAAAGAGAAGACTGTGTTGATTTTAGAGAGGAGATGTGAAAGGAACTAACATTTTTTTAAGCCTGACACCATATTAAGGACTTCATGTATGTTGTTTCATTAAGTCCTTATAGCGACTTTCTGTACTATGTATAGTTATCTCCAGTTTACAGATGAGGAACTTAAGGCTCAAAGAGTTGAAATAGCCTGCCCCCAAATCACACAGCCCCCAGTGAGAGAGCTGAGAGCCGCACTGAGGAGTCCCTGCTCTTGCCATTCTCCAAGAGCACAAGCAACCATGCAAGCCAAGTGCGCGGACCCCACCCTCCTGTGCTTAAGAGTAATTGTAACCTCTTACAGTTGGAGAGCACTTTATACTATTTAAAGTGTTTCCATATACATTATCCCATTATCCCCCTCCATATTTCCCCATCCCACAGTAGCCCTTCAATCTAGAAGAGTCAGGGACTATGATGCCCATTTTACAGATGCGGGAGATGAGCCAGCACATTTTGCCCAAGTGGTAGAGCATTTCTGATAGCCTGTGACAGAGCAAGACTCTGGACCTCTAGGCTCTCTTCCATCCTCCAGGCTACTCCCCATGCTACTGTCCCTTAAGTGCCCAGAACCAAGAAGGCGTTTGGCAAACAGAGAAATCAGCCCTGAGTTTGCCCTTCTCAGCAAGGGGATGAGGACGTAACCATTCCCGGTCCCATCGGTCTTGGCTGAGAGCTAGTTTTTGCCAGGCACTCTGATGCAAGGCCCTCTGGGGATGGAGAGATTGACCTCAGTTGGCCCCTGCCTTCCTGGAGCCTGCCATCTGGTAGAGTGGATGAGATAAACACCTATGCATCAAGGTAGGATGGGATGGAGTCAATAACAGGGGTTCTAAGTCATTGTGGAAAGGCCATCTGGAAATCCACAAGGCTTATTCCCAGAGCTTCATGGAGCTGGTATTTCAAATTCTTAATTTCTGCTTAAGTCTTGCATTAATAGAGGCCACTTTTGACAGGGGTGGGATCAGAAAGTCTTGGAGCTTTCTAGCTCATACATTCTTCAGACCCCTTGGCTGTTCTCTTTCCATCTCCCTGCCCTCCAGAGTTCCGATTCCCTTCCCTCAACATTGCCTTGCCTTGGAGACTCTCCCACACACCAGGGCTTACATAAACTCCATAAACTCTCCTAAGCTCCCACCTGTCATTATGAGTCTGAGGCCCTCCCAAGCCACACAGACTGCTCTCCCTCCCCTGGTGGTGCTGTGGTTTGTAGGCTCACTCTAGTCCATGCTCAGCCCTTGCACCCATGGTAGATGAGAGTGATAGTCCCAGATGGACTCAGGCAGTGCCTCTCCTGGAAGTAGGGGAAGGGGACGTTCAGTCCAGGCCAAGGAAAGTCCCCTCCACAGCCAGGCCAGCTGCTCCCCACTCCCCTGAGCTCTAAGCTTCCCGCGCTTCCATATTTACACTCACAAGAAGTTGTCTGAAATTACCAGCTTGGCTTCAAGTCCCCATAGCACATGTTCTCTGTCCCCTCTGAAGCCCCTGGGGCTGTGAGAGCCCTGAGTGACCCTCTGCTGTGTACCAAACAAATGAAGAGCCCAGAGTTGCTGAAGGCCATGTGGCTAACCAGCAGCAAAGCCAGGACCTGGTCCAGGAGATCCCTCTCCCTCTGAGAAAGGAGGAAACCTAAGGTTAGATAGACAAAGGTTTGTACTCCAAGCCATGATAGCTGAAGATCAGTCACTCTAACCAAAGAGGAGCAAGCTAGATTAATTTTATAAGACGAACTCTCTTCTCCAGCATGGCCTACACCCCTGCCCCAATCCACAATTGTGTAGACATATGTTATGACTATATCAGTGGCAGTAACTTGGTAAAATGAGAATGATCTAGAACATCCCAGCCTCACCAGTGAAAAAAATAACTCCTATTTTAAGGACCAGAAAAGGCGTCTGTGTGCATGAGACATTAGCCTGTGTATATCTCAAAAGAACAGGCCCCTCTGCTCATCTATGGAGTGATAATAGGGTAATGATCCAACTCTGCTGTGGGTGTTGGGGCCAGGAATCTCTCTAACCCTTAGATTTTCACCTGCAACATGAAGATAATATCTACCTCTTTAGTTGCCGTGAGGATGGATGAAGTCATATAAGAAAAAAGCCTCAGCAAAGCATCTGGCACAGAGCAGTCGCCCAGTAAATGGCATGCTCTTTCCTTCCTTCCTTAAGCAAATTCCTTAAGTCCAGCTCCAGCCACCATGGAATGGGGGCTTCCTGGGGCCTGATTCGCCCAGGTTTGGGAGAAAGTCTGGTTTTGAGAGGAAGAGATCTCTAATGATTCTCAAAGCCCAGGGCCCCTTCAGCTTCCAGCAGAGAAATTGTGTTTCAAGTTTAGCTTTGGGCAAAGAAGATTTCCTGCTCCTGAGAGTGTGGGTGCCCTTGCCCTCCCACCATCTCCCCTGGGACTAGACCATGTGCTTCCTCACCAAGGTCACCCTCTGCCAGATCTGCCCTTCCAGCTGTGTATGCCTGATGCTCTCATCCCTGTAATGGGAACATGCGTGAGTCCTCCGCCCACATGGACATTCACAGCCATCCAAGCATGTCACAAGTGAGAGGAAGCCTGGGCTGGAAGTCAGGACCCCCACTTTGGAAAACCTGGCATCTGACCCTCTGTTCCCCAGGATAAATCACTTTTACCAGTGCAGAGGTGGGGCTGCATTCCCCAGCTCAGCCCATGGGAAGACCCACTCCTGTCTCACAGAAATATTAGGAAGCTTGCTTATCTAAAGGTAAGAACAGCAACCAGAACCAAGGAGAGCCATTGCTGGTTTAGGCTCTTAAAAGCACATGGCATTTTTGTCCTCCTGCCTGCCACTGTACCCAAGGCCAGTGCGGCGGATTCCTGGGACTCTGCAGCCAGCCCATCCCTAGAGTCACAGAGGAGACAGACTTCCCAACCTTCTGACACCTACTCCCACCTGGGAGCCTCTCCCCTGGCGACCTGGTGCACACTCCGGTGGTCCCCCAGCCAGTGTCCCCTGAGCGCATGCAGGTTGGGGCTGACGCTGGCATTTGGCTAAGGCCCCAGTCCAGAGGTTAATCATTGGCCTAGTGTGAAAGGCCTGGGGGAATTAACTGGAATCAAGAGAGCCTTGAGCTCTCACCTGACACCCATGTCTGTCCCCACCTCCCCTGACCTGCCTCCCTTACTCTTCCAGAGAACTGGAGAAACAGAATACCTTTATCTCCACAAGGAAATGAAAAGGTTCCTTGCTGGGAAATTCCCCCCACATAAAAGAAATAACCACGATAAACAGCTATATTGCCTTTGGCTTGAGCTGGTGAAGGGAGTCTCCGGGAGCGAGGGCAGGGCCAGGAAGTAAGGTGCTCATTACTGCCCCATGATCATTAACACAGTTTTCTCCTTTAACACTCTCATTGTCCAGTCCATCTCAAAGTTTAAAGCCTGTCAAAGTCCGTGGGAAAGTGGGGACTCCTCTCTCCTCGTCCAGGTGGCAGTCTGGGACCTGAGGACAGCTGTGGTCAGGCTGGCTAGGGACCCGCTGCCCTCCGCAGGTCCACGTGCGTGGCACCCTCTGAGTGGCCTTACCTTGGATTCTCCATCTTCGTCTGCCCTGCCTCAGCAGGCAGGATAACAAAGGCCATAACACCCACAGTTTTAACCCTGACCCCATAACTGAGTCTCTGGGAAATCTTGGGCATATTGTTCACCATCTCAAGATCTTGATCTTCTTATCCATAAAATGGTTGTACTGATAGCCACTCTGTCTTATTTAAAGGGAAGTGACAAAGCTCCAGCGAAATAGTGTAAATGACAAGGCTTTGATAAGCAGTGGGGGCTCCACAGGTAACAGGAGGAAGCACAAGGGATGAGCATGCTGCTGTGTCTGAGGTGCAAGACAGAGCAATGGGAGAGGTTAAGAGCTTGGACTTTGGGAGTAAGACAAAGCCAGGTTCAAATCTTGCCCCCCTCCCCTTCCCCACCCCCCACTCACACACTTAATCCCTGTGTGACCTTCAGGAAAGCACTTTACATTTAAGCCTTCATTTCCTCCTGTGTAAAATGTGGATAAGAATACCCACCTTATAGGGGGATATCAAGTTTAAACGAGATAATACACGTGCGTTATTTAACGCAGTGCCTGGAACATGGTAGGAGAACAATTGATGGTAGTTATGGCCATCATTGTTACCTTTACAACTTTAATCCTTACTAGGCCTCCTCTGTGGGTCTCAGTTTACTTGTATGAACACACCATAAAATATGCGAGCCCCCCACCCCCGACCTCCCAGGGATGGAGGAGTGCAGCTGACCCAAAGAGATGAGGCCACTTGTTGGTGTATTCAATCGTCCAGCAAGCTGTTCCTGAGATCTTACTGGTCTTGCCCAGAACCGTGCCTCCTGGATGAGGATACAGAAGAAATGGCACCTGTGTCCCTATCCCAAAGGATCTGGCAGCTTAGTTGAGAAGTAAAATCTACTTATAACTATTAAGGATTGAAAAGCACTCTGGGATAATGGGACTTTTAGCTGTAATGGGAAAGGCGGAGCTATTCATTCTCTCAACAGGATTTATGTCAGTTTCTGGAGCTACAAAATCAAGCAGGTGTTACAGGACCTCTAACATCAATTGGTCTAGGAAGATGTAGGAGCTTCATCCCTTCATGCTATTGTCTTCCAGCATCGCACTCAAGGAGTTGGCCTGGGCGGCATAGCCCCACGGGAGCCACCAGTGATGACACTCTTCTTCTTCACCTGCCTGCTGGCTGTCTTCCCAGGTGCGTCTGCCAGGTCCCAGCCCACTCCTCTCTAGGATTCAGTTTTCTGGGGACACTGAAATTAGGCCCATCCCCAGGGGTGCCCCTCTCAAAGCTTGTACTCCCTGGAGCAGGAGTCACACAGACGGTGCATAAAGGCCACGTCTGAAAATGGCGAGCGAGCGCTGGGGATCAGGAACAGGCATGGCCAGGGGTCTGGCGAAGGGTCTTCGCTGGGAATTAAAAAAACACATTGACCTTGAACCAAGCATCTCTATGAGTTGCTATGGGGTTTTTGGGAAATAACTTATCCTTCCTGGCTGTCAATATTTTTATCTGGAAAAAAAGAAAATAATTTAAAAAAAAAGAAAATAATTTTTTAGAAATATAAGGAAATAATAGACAGCAAATGCAAAAGTGTGGTACCCCACAAAAGTGTTTTTTTTAAATAAACAAGGGATATCATTAAATAAGTTTGCCATTCCATTGTCCTTGAAATGGTTATCATTAATGAATTACAGCTGGGCCGGCCCGGTGGCTTAGCGGTTAAGTGTGTGCGCTCTGCTGCTGGCGGCCTGGGGTTCGGATCCCGGGCGCGCACCAACACACCGCTTCTCTGGCCATGCTGAGGCCGCGTCCCACATACAGCAACTAGAAGGATGTGCAGCTATGACATACAACTATCTAGTGGGGCTTTAGGGGAAAATAAATAAATAAATAAAATTAAAAAATGAATTACAGCTAAAAGTTAATAATGATTAATCAATCCGTTTACCCAGTTGCAGCAACTGTCCAGCTGTAGTACACGGTAGATAACCCACGGAAGGCACGTGTGTTAGGCGGACCGTTTCCTCTCCTCGACGTGGGTTGTCTGATCCTTTCAGCAGGCTTTACCTCCCAACGCCTCAGAAAGCCTCTGTCTTCTGTCTCCACAGTGGTCTCCATGAAAAGTCCCATATTTGGTCCCCAGGATATAAACAGTGTGGAAGGCAGCTCAGCGTCCATCAAGTGCTACTACCCAGCCACCTCCGTCAACCGGCATACCCGGAAGTACTGGTGCCGGCAGGGGGCCAAGGGCCGCTGCACAACCCTCATCTCCTCGGAGGGCTACGTCTCCAAGGACTATGAGGGCAGAGCCAACCTCACCAACTTCCCAGAGAGCGGCACATTTGTGGTGAACATTGGCCATCTCACCCGGAATGACTCTGGGTACTACAAGTGTGGTCTGGGCATTAGTAGCCGGGGCCTGTCCTTTGATGTGAGCCTGGAGGTCATCCCGGGTAAGGATCCAGCTCCTTGGGCTTCTGTGGGAAAGCAAAAGAGAATCATCTCAGGTGCAATGGGACGGCTTGAGGAAGAATTTCCTGAGAAAAAAGAGTGTCCTGGCATGGGGTGGGGAAGGTTATGGATCCTCCTCCTTCTGGAGGCAAAGACTTTTCATAATAGAACATGGGAATGAGATGGATGGGACCTACTTGGGGGTGGCGGGTGGATCTTTCTAGGTCTTCAGGGCCTGAAACATTTTAGGGGTTTGCTAAGGCTCTATCTCAGAAAAGCATCAGGAGGACAAGTTCTCTCATTGTTGCAGGTGGGACAGGAGGTTTACGAGCTGAGGGAGATAGAAAAGGCAGGGAGAGATTTATAGGGAGCCTTAAAATCCTGCCGTTACTGTACCCTTTAGATCAAGAGCTTGAGTCACAGAAAGTTTCTTTTAAAATGCATTTTTTACCTGGGATCCATTAGTCCATCAACACTCTCAGCGTAAATTAAGTGATCAGTTCTTGCCCAAAGACCAGGGCCCTAAAGGAATGGCCCACTGAAAAAGCCTGTTCTGATTGAGAAAAGAGAAAAGTAGGAAAGATGTTTCTGACTAAGTTTCAACGACAGGACATTTTAGATAATCAAGGGAAATTAGAAGAGAAAGAGGTCTTAAGGAAATTTAGAGGGATTCCCAAAGATATGTTTTGCTGCTTTGGGATGTACCTAGTGTTATCTGTGGACTGAATAGAGTTCATTCAGGTGGTCATGGAGATTCATAAAATCAAAGAATCTTAAGAGCTGAGGAGAGCTTAGAGTTGACCCTATAGAGGATGTCCAGAACAATACTGGAGATGACAGGTATGGAGCCTCTGATTAAACACTTTAAATGGCAGAAATTCATTACTTCACAAAGCAGCCCATTCCATGTTTGGACTGTTGTAAATTTTAGAAACTTCTATCACAATACACTAAAATCCCCCACCCTATACTTAACATTCATTCTGTTCATTTCAACACATTAATTTGGGCACCCTCTATGTTTAGGCCTCATGCTAGGCCCTGCAGGGGAGTCAAACATGAGGAAAGCATGTCTTTGCCCTGAAGAGACTTCCAGTCTGCGGGGAACTTAATTAGCTGTGCACAAGGCCGGAGATAATAAGTGATACAGATGTAAATATCAAGAGAGCATAGAGGAGGGAGAGATTAGCACCTGCTTGGGGAAGGCTTCATGAAGGAGACAGCAGTAAAGCTGGGCCTTGGAAGACATGTTCTGACAGTGTCCCTCTGGGGAGGGGGGCAGTCCAGGTGATAGACACACCCAGCTTCTCACTGGGAACATTGAGCAGTCCTGTGTTGCCAGAAAGTGAAATCACAACTTGCCCCCTGCCCCTCACCCTGCAGATCCTGGTCTCCCACAGGACGCTGAAGTCTATACAGCAGACCTGGGCAGAACAGTGACCATTGCCTGCCCTTTCAACTCTGGGAATTCTCAGAAGAGGAAGTCCGTGTGCAAGCAGACAGGCCAGGACTGCATCCCAGTCATCGACTCCAGTGGGTATGTGAACCCCAGCTATAGCAATAGAGCACAACTTAGTATTCAGGGTACCAACCAATTAAAGTTCAGCTTCATCATCAACAAACTCCAGCTCAGTGATGGTGGGACGTATGTCTGCCAGGCTGGGGATGATTCCAGTGCTGATAAGAGCAACGTTGACCTCTATGTGCTGAAGCCAGAGCCTGAGCTGGTTTATGGAGACCTGAGGAGCTCCGTGACCTTTGACTGTGCCCTGGGCTCCGAGGTGGCAAATGTGGCCAAATTCCTGTGCCGGGTGGACAGTGAGGAAACCTGCGATGTGGTCATCAACACCCTGGGGCACAGGAGTCAGGCCTTTGAGGGCAGGATCCTGTTCGAGGACAAGAATGACGGCTTCAGGGTGCATATCACCAACCTGAGGAAGGAGGATGCAGGGCTCTACCTGTGTGGAGCCAACTCTGATGGTCAGCCTCAGGAAGCCTTGTCCATCCAGGCTTTGCAGCTCTTCGTCAATGAAGGTGAGACTTGGGGGGTGGGGGGGAGGGAAACAGTGGGGCAGCCTGGCAGGTGAGAGCCTAGCTCGCTCCCTGTGAATCTATTCAATATTCATCAGTCGGTCAACAATATCTGCTCCCTGACAAGCCCTGAACTAGATACTGTGTGGGCAGCTGTACAAGAGAAAACACAGCCTTTTGATGGCTGTCCCTGATTAATAGGAATGAGGAGAGTGAAGCCCCTGATTGAGGCAAGACTTGTAGATTGTCTTGGTTTCAGAGGACCACAGTGAGGACTTAGCATGGAATCCCAGTGCCATGGCAGGGCTTGCAGGCGCTGCCTGTCCCTTCTCCCTGACCATTAAGCAGGATGGCACCTCATCCCTCACACCCAGATCGGAGAAGGATTAGCTTATCTTGGTCTCAAAGCTTTCCCAAGAAGGCAATGCCCCAGCCTCTGAATTTTCCTCTACGACTTCTCTCAAGGTTGTTATTCATCACAGTCCTGCCTACTCAGCTCAACTTTGGTGAGCCATCAACGTGCGGAAATAATTCAATCCCTGCTCCTTCTCACCCGGGAGCATCCGCATAGAGTTGCCCTCAGCAGAAGCAGCAAACCAGTATTTGCAGTTCAAAGTAACTGCCCTTGTGACTTTTCAGGCGCTCACACTCCCTGTGTGTCATTTCATGATCCAGCTCTGGGTGCTCAGCATCTTCAGTCGCCCAGGGTCCTCACTGAACCTCGGCTTTAGCTTCTTGGAGGAGGGCTGTCCTTCTCCTTGAGATGGCCCTCAGGGTCCTCAACAATTAAACTTATCTGTGCTACATAGTTTATATTTTAAATCATATCGTTTTAAATATATTTTCTCAATTTGGAGAAAATCTGTCTGGCCATTTTTGTGGGGCAAGCTAATAAACAGACAAAAACTTATATAGAGGGAGATTTTGTAAGAAGCCCAAAGAGAAGGGCTTCTCTCCTTAAACTGCTTCCATTCTCTGCTCAGAATAAGGTGGGAAAGGGAACGAGATGCCCAGACTAGTGGTGAAGGTCCCTGGTGTCTGGTCCTGGTGGCTCCAGCTACCGACTCTGTGACATTAGGAAAGTCTTTTTCATTTTCTGAGGAGGGTGAGGTTAAGATTAGTCTAAACCTCACTCCCCACCCTAGTGAGACCATGGGGAAGAGGCTGCTCAGATCATGTCACCATTCTTCCATCCCATCTCTGTCTGTGCTTCTAGAGACCTTGTTTCCCCGCAGTCCCTCTGTGGTGAAAGGTGTGGTAGGAGGCTCTGTGGTCGTGCTCTGCCCCTATAACCCAAAGGAAAAAAACAGCCTGAAGTATTGGTGTCGCTGGGAAGAGACTCAAAATGGCGGCTGCCCACTGTTGGTGGAGAGCGCGGGGCTGGTTACGAAGCAGTACGAACAGTACGGTGGCAGGCTCGCGCTGTATGAAGAGCCGGGCAATGGCACCTACACGGTCATACTCAACCAGCTCACTGCCCAGGATGCCGGCTTCTACTGGTGTCTGACCAACGGCGACTCTCGCTGGAGGTCCACGGTGGAGCTCAAGATTGTTGAAGGTAAGAGCTGAACTTGGGCAAGAGGGAAGGGAGGCAGCCCCAGGACCTTTCCAGTCAGCAGCAGCATCACCCCCAGCCACTCTTCCTCCCGTCTCACCCACCTCTATGCTGTGGGACATACCTCAGGAGAGAGCCCACCTGTCAAGAGGTCCCATTCTCATACCTGTTCCCTGCACATACACCATAATCTCCAACGACCACACACAGCACCTCCTATTATCAAGAGCATTGGCCACTTTTACAGTACGTGTGATGTCAGCTGAAGTAGAGTGCAGCTCTTTGTATTGAGTCTAGAAGAGAAGAGAGGAGCAAGGAAAGCAAACTAAAGTCAATGTCAAGGTTCCATGTTCAATGCTGGACTGGACTGATTCATGGTGGTCATCAATAATAATTACCATGCAGGCACATAATTGTATTTCTTATGTTTTCAGTATACTGTAAGGCATCGACTTACAATGCTGTCCATGAAGGAAATGGGCTGTGGACACAGGTCCCCGCCACAGTCACTTCCCTGCAGCATCACCAACGTCAACTTCTGTGCCTATTTCTCCCTCCCTCCCTGCTCCAGGAGAACCAAACCTCAAGGTCCCCAAGAACGTGACTGTTCAGCTGGGAGGGACTCTCAAGCTCCCCTGCTACTCACCATGCAAATATTACTCCTACAAGAAATTCTGGTGCAAGTGGACCAACGAAGGTTGCAGGGCCCTGCCCAGCCAAGACGAGGGCTCCAGCCAGGCCTTCGTGAACTGCGACCAAAAGAACCAGATCATCAACCTGACCCTGAACCAAGCCACCAAGGAGGACGAGGGCTGGTACTGGTGCGGGGTGAAGGAGGGCCTTCAATACAGAGAGACTGTGGCTGTCTACGTGGCGGTCGGGGAGAGGGTAACAGGTGAGCCTCCAATGGTAAAGCCTTTGCCCCTCGGGCCCCAGAGAAAGACTCCTGCCAACAGCTTCTTCATCAGGGGTGGCCCCAAGGTTTGGTTGTAAGAGGCTGGGAGCAGGGGGAGATTTAGCCCCCAAAGAGTCTCATTTAGCCCTCCAAAAAGGACATCCCAAATAAACATACAAACCAAGAAAAAAAGTGGCTTTGCTATTTAACCGCAGCTTCAAGACAAGTCCCATAGTTGCCCCTTCAGACCATTTGAAGCTCTTTCTATGTGTAGAGCTCTTCCACACAAAGATATTTCAGTCACTATCTCATGTGACACACTCTGCCAAAGCCCACTCTCAAAAGACGGCCAGATACCTCTATGTGAAAAAATTTAGGTAACCTCTTCCAGTAGCTTTGCATTTTAAGCCTCTTTTTAAAATGTCACATGAAATGCTTTATTCCTATTGAGGGTATTTTTAGTCCCTCTAGAAATCCTATCTTGTCTGGGTCCAGTGGGTCTGGCCCACGCGGGGCCCATCACCAAGCTACCACCAGAGGGCAGCACTATCACACCCAGCTTTGTGGTCAGGAGGCCTCTGTCAGGGTTTGAAAGCTGTGAACAACCTTTTTTTTTTTTTTTTTTTTGTGACGAAGATCAGCCCTGTGCTAACATCTGCCAATCCTCCTCTCTTTGCTGAGGAAGACTGGCCCTGGGCTAACATCCGAGCACATCTTCCTCCACTTTATATGGGATGCCGCCACAGCATGACTTGACAAGCTGTGTGTCAGTGCGCGCCCGGGATTCAAACCAGCGAACCCTGGGCCGCCGCAGTGGAGCATGCACACTTAACCGCTTGGGCCACCTGGCCTGCCCTGAACAATCTTTCTGTTCCCAAATGATGGGTCAGCCTGTATGCACAGCTGGATCAATGATACAGAGCCTTGTAGATGGGAATGAATTTGGTATTAATGGGACAGAGAGATCATCTGTCTAGATGATCAAAGCTAGAGAAGACCATCACTCCTCTATCTCTAGTGTCATCCAGGACCCTACCCTAACAGCCTTCAGATCTCACCCTGACCCTGTGATTCCTAATGAAGTCCTACTCCTCAGACTCCCTAACCTCAAGGAGTGAAAGCATAGAGAAAGAACCATAATCCAGCTCCTCTCTGCTCTCTCCAGGGTCCAAAGATGTCAGCCCAGTGAGTGCTGCTTCTGCTGATGTGATACAGCCAAGAGTCAGGACGATTGAGGGCAGCGTCATTCAGAATCCCGGGATTTTTGCAGAGGACAGAGCAGTGAAGGATAACGAAGACCCAGCTGATGGGAGCGGACCATCCATAGACCCTGGCAGGTGAGGAAGGATTCAGGGCTTCTCACTCAGAGAACATCCCAGAGCCGAGGACCTGCGGCTGAGCCACCAGGACCAAGGAGGGAAGCCTGTCCGCCTCTTGATGGGGGGCAGCCCTCACTGCCTCGAGAGGGGCCGATGGCGCTCTGCCCTTCGCCTGTGGCTAGGGTGGGGTTTACCATTCAGTTGAGTTTCCCAGGCCTAGGATGCAGAGAAGTCCCTGTCCTTGCCTTTGCCATGTCTGGGAGGGCTTCTCAGAAGAATGGAGTAAGCGGGCTATATCAAGGGGAGGGAGTGGATTAACCTGCAGGGAGAAACTAGCCACAGCCAACCTGCCAGCATACCCTGGGCCCCCCAGGTTCTCCTTTCAGTGACTGATTTGCCCTTCTTCCAGCTCTGTGGGACAAGGCGGGAGCTCCACCGTGCTGCTCGCTACCCTGGTGCCCCTGGCCCTGGTGCTGGCGCTGGGGGCCCTGGTGGTGGGGGTCTTAAGAGCTCGGCACAGGAAGAACGTAGGTGAGTCCCGAGGGGCTCCCTGCCCCGCCTCCCACCCTGAGCCCTCCCAGAGGCACTCTGGCGTGCCGTCAGCAGAGTCTTTTACAGGCTCAAGGAACGGGTTCTGGGAGAGTGGGTGGGGAAAGATAAACGCACACGTACCCAAAACTCACATGCAGTGCCGCTGTCCACACGCTATCTCTGGAAGGCCATCTCCAGTTGCTCAGGGTCTCAGTTCAGAGACAGGGCTGCCAGGAACAGGAGAGCAGGATGCCAGGACACCTGTGCTGCTGGCTAGTTTGAGAGCCAATCAGCTGTGTGACTTTGGCATGTCCCCATTTCATGCCTCTGTTTGTTTATGGCTCAAGAAGGAATCATAATAATCACCTCGAAGGGCTGATGCGAGGACAAAATGAGTGACTGTGTGCTGAAAGGTCACAGAGTGAAAAACAAAGGTTGGGGATTGTTGAGTCTTGATTATCCGTGAAAGGGGAGTAGGGAGGAGACTCGCGTCGTCTCCGTTCTGCTTTGGGTCATAGTCAGAGATGAGCAGCCAGAGACCCTGACCCCCTTCAGCTCCCTCAGAGAAGAGCAGCACGTCCTGTTCTCGCATGTCCAGCTCCCATCCTTACACTGACTCCTCTTTCTCCCGCACAGACCGGATTTCAGTCAGAAGCTACAGGACAGACATTAGCATGTCAGACTTTGAGAACTCCAGGGAATTTGGAGCCAATGACAACATGGGAGCCGCTCCAGTCACTCAGGAGACATCTCTCAGAGGGAAAGATGGTACGTCCCTCACTCGAAGGAATGCCCAACCCCCGGAACAGAGAGAATTAGACCTGACTCTGAGTCTGGGTGGGAATATGAGGTGAGTGAGGGCTAATCCACCCCCTCTCTTCACACAGAGTTTGTCGCCACCACCGAGAACACCACCGAGACCGAAGAACCCAAGAAGGCGAAAAGGGTACGGGTGAGGAGGGTGAAGGAGGCCCCACTTGTGTGACAAGAAAATGCAGCATGAGGCACTGCAGTTAGACATCAGAAAAAACGACCTCCAAATGGGGGCTGATGTCAGAATAGGGAAGGTAGTGTAAATAGTATTCAAGAGAAGTTTTTGAGGGCAAGACGTGTCTTCCTGGCTGTGGTGTTGCTGTAGCTGAGGCAGAGGCAGGAGGGGAGCCTCGCACAGGAGGGCAAGAGACTAGGGGATGGGGAAGGCAAGCGCATAAAAGATTCGGCCCCACATCAAACACTGGTGCTTAGGTGCACACTCTTCCTGGGCTGTGGGACCCATGGACTTCAAGTCAGCTGCCCTCCGTTGAGGGTTTGCTGGGCACCAGCCTTTTGCCTGGGCTTGGAGGACATTTGCTGGTGCTGGGCAATTTGGTAGTCACTAGAAGCCCCTCCCCACCACAGCCAAGTGCCATGTTACCTGAAATCCTACTAGTGGTGACTCCTGCCTTTGGAGTCATATGACCCTCCCCTTGTGCCTCCTGAATCCCAAGGCGTTAATGCTTGTTATCACATCTACTCTCCCTCACAGCAGCAGGGACCCCAGCATTTGAAACAATTAGGAGAGTGAGTTAGTCCTGGAGAAAGCCTTCTCCTCTAGCCTTGTGTCACTGAAAAGCAACGTCTCTGGGCTGGTGGAGAAAGAAAAATGTAAACCACTGTGGCTGATGCCAGCCTAGCCCACCCATGGACTATGTGGGCAGAGCTTCCGGGGACAGGCCCAGGTAACAGAGGTGGTTCCACTCCATGTGTCAGAAGGAGGTAGTGAGACAGAGAGAGATATTTTTAGAAGCTGCAACTTTCCGTTGCTCAAAATTAGTCCCTGTTGGTGAGCATGGGGGCTGGAATAAGAACAGTGGGTCAACACAAGCTTGGGTTGCCAAGATGATGAATTCAGGATGTTTAACGCATCCCCTCCCTCTGACACCCACCCACTGAGCCAATGCCCCAAACACTGACTCCTCTTCTGTTCCTCTCTTAGTCCTCGAAGGAGGAAGCTGACATGGCCTACACTGCCTTCCTGCTCCAGGCCAACAACATGGCTGCCAACGTCCAGGACAGCCCCAGCAAAGCCTAGGCAGAGCCCCTGCTGCCTCCTCCCTCCGCCCATGACAATCACCTTCAGAATCACGTTGATTCTCAGGGCCCTCAGCTCCTGGGGGCTCTGCTGCCTGCACTCGTACTCCACTTAGGCTGTTCCTACCTATCCTCAGAGGGTGCGCTGGTCCCTCCTCGGTGGCATACAAGCCTCGCCTCATTGTTCCTGTTGGGGTGGAGATGACATGAGGAGTTCCTACCTGCAGCTTATTTCTAATGAGAGAACCTAAGGTGTGGAAGGAGAGTTAAGATCTTAGAGGGGCCTCTCAGAAAGAAGAGAGACCAGGGTGGGTGGGGAGATAATTTCCAGAAAGGAGGGTCATCCATGGCTTCTCTGCACTCTTATTCCGGGATATCAATGGGATTCTCCCCTCTACTCCATCCCTCCATCTACCCTCCCTTCCATGCTCTCTTCTTTCCTTCATTGAAAATACACATTTGAATACTCACTAGAATCGAGGCACTCTGCTAGACACCGGCACAGAGAGGCCACAAACTCAACCAGCAGCCTTTCTGCAAGCGTCCCTGAATCCTTGGAAGCCACAACTCCTCTCAGTTGTGTTTATACTCACTGCAACCTGAAATCCTCATCAGGTATACTCACCTCTGCCCACATTGGGAGAAACCATAAAATGTCTGGAGTCCTAAGGCCTTAGGGATCATGTAACATGGGCATACATACAACAAATCATAAACACACATTCTTCCCATCTTACAAGTAAGAAAATTGAGGCCTGAGAGGTGAAGAGGTTTGCTCAAGGGCACAAAGTAAGGTACACTAGTGTCAAAACTAGATGTGGCATCTCCTGTCATCTCAGCCAAGGATCTCTCTACAAAAGCGCCTGCTCTCCTGGTGGAGGCAAAGTTCTAGAATAAGGAGGAGGAGGAAGAGAAATGTGTAAATGGAGACTGGTCTTTCACAAGCCCCACCTCAGAGAAGACAACTCTTTCCCTTTCTGTCATTCACATGGACAGAAGAGGATAAGAACATGGCCAAACACTCAGAACCCCGGTATTTGAAGAGTTCTGAGCAGAAGGGAAGACAAGAGGGTGTTTGACGGTGCCAGGGAGGGACTGACCTCCAAAGAGCTGAGGTTTAAGGTCCTTTTTGCTCTGAGCTCTGTACTTCAACCAGCGCCTACGAGCTGGCACTTGCTAACAAATCAAATTGTGACTTAATTGATAATTAAAGACTGTGATTGCCACCAAGGAGGCTCAGACTGCATTTGTCCCCCACACCTCTGCTTCCCAGACTACCCTTTCAGAGCATTTTGCTTTGGTCCCACTTTCAGGCACCTCAGGACATGTGTCTAAACTCAAGTTTCTCCCACTGCCAACACTGGGCTGAGGGGGCTAGGAGACTGCCTACAAGTGGGACCAAGATTATCTTCAATAAAAGAATAGTTAGGGGTCTACAGCAATAGTCAAGACCCCAAAGCTCTGTGTTACAGAACACAGATAAGACTATTTATAGTGTAATGAACTGAAAGCAAGTATAACCAGTGCTCCTAATCAGGTGTTAAAAAAAATTTTGGTAAAGCATCCGTGGAAAACTTGACTTTGAATCTCATACCTTCCTGGGGTATCCTCCAAGATCAAGAGGCTGTTAATGAAAACTCAAGTAACCAAATGAGTAAACTCCCTCCATAGGAATATCCACTAGAAGCTAGTTAAATGATAACTTAGGTTTTAGAAGAGTTGACCCAAAGTCTCTTAGGGGACAGTGATTAGATAAAGGATCCCCTTCTCTGCTAAGGCTGTTCCTAGGTTCCAGCACTAAACCTTGCCATATCCTGTAAGCCCCCACCCCGCCTCTAGACTCCTCCTTGGGGCTTGTGTGTGGAGAGTTCTCCCTGAGTGAGAGCTCTTCCTAGCCTTCTATCCTGCCTGACAAGGGGCAGAACCTTTGCTTCTACCCCAGCCTTGAACATAATGCTTCTGATGCTGCATGCTTCCCAGGCCTGCCCTTGACAGGACTCAGACTTCAGTCCCCCTCGGTCTTCCCTCCAGGCCCACCAACTGTAGTGCCCGCTCCCGATTCTCGGGCCCTGACCTGGGTCAGAGCTTTGTCTCCTCCCCGGCCAGGAGAGGTGGTTGTCAGCAATGTTTACTTCTCTGTTCTCTATAATGGCGATGAGTATCTAACTTCTCCTGGAATGATAGAAAATTATTCCAAGAGAACCGAAACTACAAGGTGTGTCAGAACCTATCACTGTTTTAACCCTGGGAGGCTGCTCTCAGACCCACCAAAGGGTCACGCCTGGGGCAGAAGGACTAAGATGCAGCTTCTGTGTTAGTGCCAATAACCTGCGAGCCAATCTTGACCTTGTGCAGCCTATTCCGCTCCCAAGAATCAAAGGCCAAGGAATGTCGCTAAAGCCACAGACAATCGTGTATCATTCTTGACTGATACTGTCAGGAGGTGACAGCGAGTGTCCTGCCCGAAGTCCACTTGCCCCTCCTGCGGCATGTTGCACAGAGAAACCCCTCTATGAAGAAGGAGGCTGGTCTAGAGCTGAGATGGGATATCTAAAAAGTTTAAAAGTCACGAATTTGAGGAGTGTATCAATTTTCCAGGGCTGCTATAACAAAGTACTACAAACTGGGTGGCTTAAAACAACAGTAATTTATTTTTTCACATTCCTGGAGGCTAGAAGTCTGAAATCAAGATGTCGGCAGGGTTGGGTCCTTCTGGAGGCTCTGAGGGAGACTCTGTTCATGTCTCTCTCCTAGCTTCTGGTGATTGCCAGCAATCCTTGGCACGCCTTGGCTTGTAGACACATCACTCCAATCTCTGCCTCCATCATCACATGGTGTTCTTCCCGTGTGTCTCTCTGTGTCTTTAGATAACCTTATAAGGATACCAGTCCTTATTTAGGACCCACCCTAATCCAGCTTGACCTCATCTTAACAAATTACATCTACAAAGTTCCTGTTTCTAAATAAGATCATATTCTGAGGTTCCAGGTGGATGTGAATATTGGAGGGACACTATTCAGCCCGCTATGGGGGAGTAACAATCAACTGTGGGATTAATGTTGATAAACCAATTAGCAATGATCAGTGTCCAGCTACCATTCAGAGAACTACTCAAATATTTCTGATGACAAGAAAATCTTCCTCAAGTTCCTGAATTATCTTGATTTTTTTTTCTTTTTAAAAATCCATTATGTAATAATGACTACACATTACCAAGGCCCAGAAGTGGCTGAGAATCCGTCTATAGCAGTTGATTTTGGTTTGTAAAGCTAATACACATATATATGCCATTTGTCCAAGACTTTCTCAAGACTCAGGACATCTCTCCTAAGAACAGTAGACAGCAGAGAAGAGCTGGCTGCGGTATAGTCTGTGGAGCTGGTGCCCAAGGCAGAGAAACAAGCAGAATTCACCCCACCAAGCTTCTCTGAAATAACAAACTCGACTAGGGAGTCTATATAAAAATAATAAGAGATCATCTCAGAAAGACTGCATATCTAGGTAGACAGAGGGCACAACGAGAGAGAAGATGTGAGACTGTGACCAATGGCCCCCAGATGGCCAGGGAGATAACACAAGAAGAGAAAGGAGGAAGACAGTCAAGCCGTGCAGCTGAAGCTGTTCTGGAGGCTTGGTAAGCCTCTCCTAAGGCTGGTGAAGAAATGGGCATCCAACCCACCCTCGTTTGAACCAAAAGTCTTTGTTTAAATGTGTGGAGGTGAATATTCTAAAATCTAGCTTTTTGCAGATAAATCACACTAAAATTCATCCAAAATTCCCACATATTGGGGTTCTAACCTTAGAATACCAATAGGAATATGACCATATTCAGGACAGAAGTCTTGCTCACCAAAATTCTACCATTTCTTGTAGCAGAAAGTCATGAATCGGCTTACTGCGAAGGTTAACCTTCCCAAAACCCCATTCCTGTGGAGCAGCTCACTGTGGGACAGGCAAGTCTGTGGTCCAAGTTTTTGGAAAGAGTGACCTGCAGGATACCTGAGCAAGGTGCCTCTACCTGGGTGGGCTCTCTGGTGAGTCCAGCAGGCAGGGAGATTCTCGTGGCCTGTCTTTAGGGAGAGCAGTGTTGAGTCATGGGGGGCGCCACCTGAGGATCTCGGCCCTTGGTCTGGAAAGAACCAGGAGATGGCCCTTCGGAGCCTGGCCACATGGGAGGTCAAAGTAGGGTGATGCAATAACCAAGCAGAACCCGTGAGGACGACTCCCACCCTAATGACCACAGCTAATCTCCACTGCCCTCATACTATATTCCAGGCACCTTGCTAAGCCCCTGTAATGCTTACCTCATGCGATCCTCACAACAACCTTATGAGAAATACTCTTCTTATCCAATCCGTAACATGGGGAGGATAACAAAACCTAAGTTATGGAGATTAAATGAGTTTACCTAAAAGACTTAATTCCCAGTATATCTGGTATGATTTATTTCCTCCACCTGCCCGTCTTCAGGCTCTGCATTTTGCCCACTGAGTTCACCCCTTCTGGTCAAGCATTGGCTCCAGAGGATGTGAGGCTGTTGAGCCCTCTGCCTGTCAGGGTGCTTCAGCTTATCAGACCTTCTCCTGCGGGGTGGGAGCACCAGGGCCACACAGCAGCCCTGTGAGTCAGAAAGGGGAAATTGAGATGAGGAAAAGGAGAAGGAGAAGAGAACAAGGACGCTAAAATTTTCCCACTTGGCAATTTAGCCAGGGGTCGGCCTTCCCTTGGGGCCCAATCCTCCAGACTCTGGGGCAACATGGGAAAGTCGAGACTGAACAGGCCTAGATCCCAGACTCCAAACATTCACTTCCTACCTGGCAGGCCTCTTAACAACCCAATGCGATGTTTCTAAGGGTTTTATTTGGGCCACACATGTTGTGAAAATCTCTCCTACTCACTCTCACCCCACACATCCCCAACACTGCCTGGCAGGCCCAGCCACAATGCAGCCAACCCCTCATCTTCACAGACACACATATTCACACACATAGCACATTCACACTCACGCACCCCACATCCACACGTTCACGCATCACAACCACACATTCACACACGAACAACCACACATTCACATATCATACAACACATTCACACACTCACACAACACACATTCATGTGTCATACAGAACACACACACTCACACAATACACATTCACGTCATACAACACATTCACACACTCACAACCACACACACACAATACACATTCACGTGTCATACAACACGCACTCACACACTCAGCCACACATCACATATTCACACATCAAATACCACACAGTCATACATTCACACCCACACACTCTCACATCCACAGTCACACACACATCACATTCATTCATGTATTCTCTCTCTCTCCAAGGCAATCTCGGCAAATGGCAGAGCCCAGCTGTGCGACAGCTGCAGGGCATTGGGAAGAGTCCCACAAGCAGGGAAGGGTGAAGGTTGGCCAGAACCAAACCTCTGTCAGTCACTCACTCTACCCAGAGGCCTGAGGCTGCCCTGACACCTTGGCCCAGTGATGGTTGGAGGAAATCACAACTACAGCTGCTTTGGGCTGGTCAGGACCCAGATAGGGGTGGGCAGGGCAGGCTGCCCGCCCCCACGCACTTCCTCTGCACCTGCTCGGAGCCTCACATTCCACTTCCACTGCAGATGTTGTCGTCTTGTGTTTTGGAGATCGCGTGACAAATCTGGTGTGAGGGGGCCAGTGGGGATCAGTGGGCACAGGACTGCTGAGGGGACGGAGGCTCCGTCAGCCACAGCCTCCCGGAAAGGGGTTGGGAACAGCCTGAGTCCTCTGTGGGCACAAGAGGCTGCAGTGTCTGGAAGTGAGGGCCCTGGGAACCCACCTACAATGGAACATCCAGGAATGAAGCCCTCTGATAAATAACAGCCCCGTACATCTCCACCTTGAAGGGTCTTAAAGCACTTCCATGACTAGAGTGCCTGCTGGGCCTCATGAAAGCCCTGTGTGGTAGGCGGGGCAGGGACCATCCATATTTTATCAATAAGAAAACTGAGGCCCAAAGCTAGAAAATGCCAAGCCAGAACCAGAACCCAGGTCTTCTGACTAGAACCCAAAGCTCTTTCCATGATGCCTCACTGCTGATTGCCTCAGCGTCTCTCTCTTCTCCGTCAGTCACTGGGCCTCCCCCTTGAACCCTAAGGGTCCTGAAGGATAGCTCTGTCAGGCTGTTGTGACTTTAGGAGAGTTGCTGTGTGACCTGTCAGATCCCCTCCTGGCATTGCCCCTGTGGTCACGGGACAGTGGCCTGGGACCCTGCCAGAGGGGAGCGCCTTGGGGATATGGTTGGGGGAGATGAGAGGTGGCTGATCTGAGGTGCTGGACGAGCCGTGGTTGAGAACCCAGGAACAACATTCTGCAGAGGGAATACCAGGGATCATCTGGTCCCACCTTTTTTTTTCTAGACAAGGAAATCAAGGCTTAGAGAAATTGCTCAAAATCCATACTTAGTAGTCCCATGTAGTAGGTGCTCAAAAATATTTGTCCGGTGAGTTCAAGGACTACAACCGGTACCTTCGGAATTCAGGCCCAAGCATCTACCCACACAGCCTTTCTCAGATGGAGAAAACTGCTAATGAGGCTCTTTTATCCTGAAGCCAGGGATAAAGCAAATGATTCCGGCTCAGAAGTCAATGCAACAAAGCATGGGAGGCCTCTCCAAGAAAAAGTCCCTAAGGCAAAGAAATATCTTGCCTGGTAGTTTCTAATAGTCTTTAGGAACTGTCTAGATGTCCCTTGAACCATGGGGACCCATTCTCACTCAACACAACATGTTTTCTCAATTCCTGACTTCCTCTGTGGTTTGCTGGTATTTTCTTTTTTAGTCTAAGACTAGTTAGCAAACAAGGTGGGTTGTCATTTCCTCATTTTCAAGCCCTGCTCCTCGTGGGGGCCAGAAATCTCTTTTAAGCTCCAGATTGTGAAGGGTTCCTGGTGAGCAGTGGGTCTCTGTCCCCTCTCCGGTGACTCTTGGATGGGACACTGCTTTGGAAGGAGCCATGGACCTCTGGCTTTGGTCACTTTGCTTCCTGCCAGGTAGGTGCTGTGGGGAAATGAGGTTTGAACTGGCCACAGGTAGGGGATGGATTTAGTTGCAAACCAGTCCCTAGGGCAGGACAAGGATGGAGGCAGTGTGGGGTGTTGGAGGCCCCCCTTCACTCCTGCTGGTGCCCCTCTCTCCACTCCAGACACATCCCCTGTTTAGCTCAGGTGTTGATTCCTAAGGGCTGAAGGTGTCACCTCTCCCAGATGTATTAGCCGGTTAATATGGGATCTTAAAGCAAGTGCCTTCAAAGTTCTTTCTTCTTAGCTCTACATTCTCTTTCTTTGGATCTGTTTCACTCCTGATTTTCATCTTTCGACTCTAAATGAAGACTCTCTAATCCATTTGGTAGCCCTAACCCATTTCCCAAGTTTCATATCTCAATTGACAACTTTTTCCTGGGCACCCCCACTTCTATATCCCACCAAGATCTGAAATGCAACATGCCTAACACCTCACTTCAAATTCCTCATTGGTCACCATCCAAACCAGCTACTCTGTCTGTCTGAACTATGTCTGACATCAGCCACAAAATGCCAGAATGGCTTTTTACTACCTCTTCCCATTTATCCCCACCCAGACTTTGACCCAATCAATGGCTAATTCACGTAGTTTCTAGATTCCCATTTACCAGGATGAGAGGTGATAGCAACCCCTACTAGAGAGGTGACAGAGGGAATGGAAAGGAAAAGAACACACAGTCATCTCTTAACTATCTTTTCCACTTCCTCCAACTTGACCTACCTGTAGCCCCAGATTAATCTTCCTAAAGCTTGACTCTAATCATAGGATGGCCCTTCCCAACAAACTTGAATGACTCCCACTGCCTACGGAATTCAATACAAACTCCTCCCTTGTGCCCCCCTTTACACTCTGAGATTGCCACACTCCCCAGCACTTCTATAACCTCCAGCCAAACAGGACTCCTTGAACATGTGCTAGACATTCCTGCCACCATGCCCTTGCACATGCCATTCCTTCTATCAGAACATCCTTCCTCTCACCTCCACCTTTTATGGGTCCCTCAAAGTCCATCTCAACCTCCACCTCCTTGTTGTACACTTTCCAGAGCCCCCCTCTTCTGAATCTCAGTAGTTGATCCCATTCCGCCTTGTATTGTGGCTCAAGGTATGTCTATCTTACTTGGTTATTTAGTCTCTTGGGGGTCAAAATGGGTTTTATGCATACCTGCTTTCTTTGTGACAGCTTGAGTATGGAATAAAGTCAAATGTTTGTTGAATCAAACATTGAAAAGCCCTAAAAGCCCAAGGGAATGGAATTTTAATGAAATGTCAGACTCTGAGAGATACCAGGACATATATGAACACGGTAGATGGTTAACTCAACTTAAGCCTGAGAGGGAAGATGGGTTAGGTGGGAGTAGAAGATCTCTAGGAGTGAAGGGAACTTCACTTGTACCACTGCAGTCTGTTCTGTGCAATACCACCATTCTAACTGGGCCAGAGAGGTCCCTGCTCTGGGCCCAGTCTTTCTCCATTTGTGCCATCGCCACAGGATGAAGAGTCCACAGGCACAAGGGGCTGTGCCCACCCCAAGCCCACACCCTCACTCCCTCTTCCAGACCTCAAATTCCCTGTCCAAATGACTCTGGGCCCCCTTTCAATGATTCTGTGAGCCTCTATCCTGGCTCTTCTATCCTAAGGTGACCCCGTGGCCCATGAAAGGGTGGCCACAGGTGGCTGTTAGAGAAGGGGATGGATGGAGCTTGTACATGCAGGCTGGGTAATCCACCATATATATACCAGGAAGCTTGTGGTATGGGTAGGAGCCAGGGGTAAGAAGAAAAAAGGAAGATAGACTGGAGGCTGGGGGCTGGAAGCTTGGGGCCATTTTTCCCTGCATAACCATGTTTTAGTGAACATCCAACGAGTGTGTGAATTTGTCAAGATGGGGGATAGAACCTGCTTCATTCAACAGTTTATTAGCTTGATTTATAACTTTAAAATATTCAGACACCTGATATTTGGGGCTTTATTTGTATTCTTGCCCCAGGTCCGGCAAATGTTGGGGTGATTGGGGTCCCCAGAGCCCCGTATATGAGGCACAAGCCATAGACCACATTGCCTGGGGCCCTTAGTGGAATTCTGTAATAAAGCAAGGCAGTATCACACGGTGTAGACTCGCAAACCTTTTTTACCCTGAGCCATAACAATAATAATACATACACTTGATGTTGTGATCTGCTACACACACACACACCCCCCTAAAATTTTTCCTTGATTCTTTAATATGGGCATGAGTTCTGGGCTTCAGTAGTTGGAGGGATGTTGGTGCTATTTTCTGAGATGGGAAGAGCTTGTGAAGGAACAGGTTTTGGAAGAGAAATCAAGAGTTCTTTTTTTTGTGTGTGCCACTGTAAGTTTTAAATACATCTTAGATATTCAAGTGGAGTCCCCAAGTGAAGATATCACAAAGGCAGTCTGGAGCTCAGAGGTAAAGATAAGACTGGAGATACAGGTTTTGGTGAAAACTATACAGAGTTGACATTAAAAGCTGTGATAGTAAATGAGCTATTGCGGGAGAGAGAGAGGAAGGACAGGGAAAAGAACAGGCCCAGTACCATGCCCTGGGGTAGCCCAGCATTGAGAGGGGGGTAGAGAAGAAGTAAGTATGGAGGTTGGAAAGGAACAGCCATTGAGAGTGTGGTGTCAGGGAAGCCCTGAGAAGAAAGTGTTTCAAGGCGAGAGGACTCAATTCATCAGATGCTGCTGAGAGGGCAAGTAAAGTGAAGACAAAGAAGTGACCATCAAACGTGGCAACAAGGAGAATTTTGGTGACCTTGACCAGGGCTTGACCAGTTTCAGTGGAATGTTGGAGGCAAAATTCTGACAGGTTGTAGGTGGAAGAGGACCGGGTGGTGTGCAAGTGGATTCAGTGATTTTGATGACTTGTTTGAGAAAGAGAACAGAAGAGGGTGACAGCTGAAGGGGAAGCAGAAGGTCCACCAAGGAGTTTTTCAACACAGGCAAGAACAGAGCATATATGCGAGCCCTAGTGACGCTGGGAGGAAGGAAAGCAATGAGGCAGGGAGAGAAAAGGGATCATTGCAGAAGAGAGTTCTAAAGAAGCCAGCAGGATGAACTCTGGACACAGGTGAAGGACTGGCTTTTGAGAGGAGAGGGGCATTCCATTCACTGCGACAGGACAAAGGGCAGACAGCAGGCCTGGACACATGTGGGTTAGTGCATGCCGAAGTGGGAAGTCGAGTAGGACGTTTCTCATCCTTTTTTAAAAATCCATGCTCCCTCTGATAAACATAAAAATCTCAGGCCAGCTCCCTTCCTCCAGAGATTCTGCTGTGACTTGAGTTGATAGGGTCCACATTACCACTCCCACCCTGAAAACCCCTGCTACCCAGAGTCCAAAGTCTATCTCCAGAGCGCCAGCCAAGGGCCTGTGGATCTTTACCGTATTTTGCATTATGGAAATTATACGGTGCTTTTTTTCCTGCTCCAAACGTTTATTTATATCCAATTAAATATCAAGAGTGACTTTTTAAACCATATATCCCTCTCCCCTACCATAACCACTGAAAACCAAGTCACCAATTTAGAGATTAATGTCACTTGCTTAGCAGCCTCTCTAAAACATCAATATTAAACGGGTCGGTTCCTTTAGACACCTTCTCCCACCCCTCCCTTTCTTCCCCAGAATCATTTGGAAATGTAGTTTTATAGCCCAGGATTGCAAACATTCAAGGGCACCTGGGATGCTTATTTAAAAATGCAGATTCATAGGCCACACCCTGGACAGATGTGATCCCCATGCCTAAGGGTAGGACTAGGTCAGCTGCATCCTAGCAAGTTCTCCCCACATAAGTCTTATGCACAATGTACATGAGTTCTAAACCAGGAGGTTAGATCCATCTTTTCTTTGTTTGGGAAATCTGCTTTTCTAAGCTTAGGGTGTAGGTTAGAAGCTACTATGAACTGCAAGGAGAGCTGGGGTCTGGTCATTTTCACCTCGCCAACCAGTGCCTCCCTGAGACCAGAGTTCAGTGTACACGGCTGCTTTCTTGTGCTTCATCTGTCCAGCATTTGCACAATGAAGATCTTGGTCAGCTCAAGCTGCTGTAACAAAATACCAGAGACTGCATGGCTTAAACAACAGATATTTATTTCTCTCGGTTCTGGAAACTAGAAGTCCAAGATCAAGGGCTGGAAGATATGGTTCTGGGTGAGGGCCCTCTTCCTGGCTTGCAGACAGCTGCCATCTCTCTGTGCGCTCACATGGCCTCTTCTTGTGTGCATGGAGAGAATAAAGACACTAATCCCATTAGGAGGGCCCCACCCTCATGACCTCATCTAATGCTAAGTACCTTCTAAAGGCCCCACCTCCTAATATCATCACATTGGGGGGTAGGGCTTCAACACATGAATTTGGGGATGGATGCAAACATGCAGTCCATAACAGAGGATCTAGGCAAGCCAGGGGTTTACCAGAAGCTCATCCCTGAGAAGAGTGAGGCAGCTGGAGGTGTCTACATGGGTGACGACCACCCTCTGCTGTCTTGCCCCTGCCCATTTTACAGCATCTTGCTCTTGGGAAAGCAGCATTCACACCTCTTTCTGGCTGGGTTGGTCCAAAAATGTTCACATGTTCACTCTCAGGTGCCAGGCTTTACATACAGGTGTGGGCCATCTGGACACACAGGCGATTCCCTGCCCTTTGACTGGGTCTTTGTCTTTGAATGGGTCACCCTTCCATCGCCTCATTCCAGTCATGAGGCTTCCTCACACGGCTGTCTCCCACGGATTTAAAGCAGTGCTGGGCTAGTCAAGTGACGGTTTCCCTGTCAGAGCTTACATGCCCGGCTGGACCCTGCTTCCCCACCAGGTCAACACCAGCTACATTTTCAGTCTTCACTCGCTTCTGTAAGTGCGGTCCCTCCCTAACCTCCTCTCCCCTCCCATAGCTGTCTCTGCCTTTACTGTCTTCCATGTTCTTCCCTCTCCCCAGAACGTCCTCCTCAGGTCTCTCTGGTCATCCAGAGACCTCAACCTTCTTTTCTTGACTCTCCTTGTTTTGCTCAACTCCTTGGAGCTATTCTTAATGTGTGTTCTGGGGATGAATTTCAGGAAGTTTGTGAATTTCTCTACACCCCATAAACATGCCATGTTCTCGCTCATATGCCAGCCTGTATGGAGGCTGTTCTCACTGTCTGGAAAGGTCTCTCCTCCTCCACCCAAGTGCCCCAGCCCTACCCCAACACACACACACTTCACCCTATGCACCCTTTCCCAGAAGGATGCAGACACTTACTGGGACCCGCTCAGCTGACAGGTAGCCATACTCGGCCTTGCCCTGTTCTCCAGCTGGCTCACCATGTTAGACCTGCCTTCTCTCAGCCAAAGCATAAGCTTTTTGATGTCAGGGACTCATGAGCCACATTTTTCTTCGTCCCTGCTCCACACCCTGCCCCCCAGCACACGTACAGTGTGCACACCCCACGCACACATGCACATACGCTCATGTACACCCTTGCTTTCCCTCTATGTCCCTACTTCAGTGAAGACAATCATCCTTCTCTCAGCCACCTTCCACACCTGGTCCTTCAGGTCACAAGACATCACTAGACATCACTTCTTCCAGAAAGCCCTCCTCAAACTCCACCATCCCTCTTCAACATCCTGGATCAGGTGCCCTGCTTGCTGCTTCCCAGGAACCCTGTCCATCTCTGCCATGGGATTTATTACACTGTGCTGGAGTGGCTGTCCGTCTGTATCACCCTCTGGGAGGGGAGGGATGTCAGCTATCTTACTGCCACATGAAAGGCAATCAATAAACACTTGAATGATTTAACAAATAGAACCTGGGGTGAATGGTTATTTTGGCTGAATGGATCTGAGCAAAACAAAGCTAGACAGGAAAACCTGTTGCAGCAAAATTGCGCCATGTCTCCCAACACCACGCTGAAGTCACTTGGGGGTTAGGTGCTGTTTGGGGTCACCATGGCATATTATCTCTCCTTGGACTGGGATAGCAGTTTTGACTATATTTTCAGGGATTTGGTGTCTGGGTCCTTATGGGTTTGGGTTTGGTGATGAGGCTGAGGATTATGTTAAGGCGTGGGCTGGGGAGAGGTCTGGCTGAGACTCGAGCTTGGGCATAGGGCTGGGGAGTGACGTAGAGCTGGCCTGAGGATATGAGTAGGGTTGGGGGTGGGAAGAGTCTGAGGATGAGGCTAGGGCTAGAGATCAGGGTAGGGCTGAGGTTAAGGTCTGGCTGAGGCCTGGGCTGATGATGGGCGTGTGGCTGGATCTAGGGATGAGCGTGAGGCCACGCTGGGGCCTGGGTTGGAAATAGGGTTGGAGTTGGGATGTGGCTGGGGATGGGGCTTCCTCCACATTAGTGGGCATTCCTCTACAGCATTCCTCCCTCTCCCTGCAGTATTTGGGGCTCAGAAGATCCTCCCAGAAGTCAAGCTGGAGGGAATGCTGGGTGGATCCGTTACCATCGAGTGCCCACTTCCTGTGATGCACGTGAGGTTATATCTGTGCCGGGAGATGGCTGGATCTGGAGTATGTGCCACCGTGGTGTCCAACAGTAACTTTGTCAAGGAGGAATACAAGCACCGAGTCACGCTGACGCCATATCCAGACAGGAATCTGTTCCTAGTGGAGGTGACAGAGCTGGCCAGGAGTGACAGCGGAGTCTATGCCTGTGGGGCGGGCAAGAACACAGACCGGGGCAAGACTCAGCAAGTCACCCTGAATGTCCACAGTGGTAGGTGCCCCACCTGATGGAGATGCCCACCCAGAAAACATCTCCACTCAGGAAGGCTGGAGCAACCCCCTAACTGTAGCAGTCCCCCAGACTCTTATGCTATTGCCATATTAGCTAGTCCAATAACGATTGGGATTTGTATAGTTGAAACCTAATAGAGTCAATTAGCTTCAGGGTCCACAGAATTTTCTATCCAAACTGGATAAAAGGAACAAGATAAGTGCTCTCCTTGTGTTGTATTGTACCCATCCTACGTGGGGCGTGGAGGGGAGTGGGGTTGAGATTGAGGAGAGGCTCTGAGACTGGAGGAAATTGGAAGAAAAGGACATAATTGTCCTATATAATTGTCCCATGAGAAATATCAGGGATAAATATAAAGGAAAGATAGTCGTTTTTCAGGCCACATTTGTAGGCCAAACTTGCGACTTTACGATCTGATCCTTTCCTTGTTTCTCCTGAATACTGCCTTCCTCCTTTTCCCCACTGACTTCCTCACAGGTGAGCAGCACTAATCCAACAACCTAGACTCCCAGGGGCCTCTGACGGTTTTGCAGGGAGTGTTGACCGGGGAGGGCAGAAGAGCAGTTCTTTCAGGGAAGCCCCCAGCCTGCTTCTTTCTCTGCCCCTCTTGGCAGACCCCCCCCCCACTGCCATCCACCCTGGCTGAGTCAGCTTCAGCTTATACCAACAGTCCCTCCCCCAGGCCCCAGCTTCCTCCTAGAGCCCACCAATGTATTCCTCTTGCCTCCAATAGAGTACAAGCTCCTCTGGGAAGAGGAGCCGATGCCTGAGTCTCCACCATGGCTTCAGAGACTTCTAAACATGCAGATACCTCCTTGGTTCCAGATGCCTGCACATGCCAGTTCTTTCGAGTTCATATCCAAAGGTCAGTTCACCCCAGCTAGGGTAGGAGAGGTGGGAGAGATGCTGAGGCATTGTGAAAATGGAGGAGAGGGTATACGTTCAGTTCATAGGGTGGTTGCCAGAGCAGAGATGAGTCTCAGATGTGTATTTCCTTGCCTGTGGAGAGGGTACCTCCCTGAGATCTGCCTTCTCTGTCCTTCAAACCCATCCTACAGCCTGGACACTCAGCACTAGTTGCAGAACATACACATCACCACCTGGTGGCACCACAAGTAAGGAAGTTTTGCTCCATTCACAAAATCGAGCTCTTTTATGAATGACTGAGGAAACAAGACTGGGCAGACTTTTCCCAGCCAGAAATCGTCATGTCTCCTGCTCCGCGTAGGGCTGTCTTCCACTTGCTGGCAAACAGTGACTTTAACAACTCTATTTTGCAATAAAAAGATTAATGATAATTATATTAATAATACCTTTACATTTTCCTGTCTTAAATACATTTTAACATGCAATATTTCCGACATATGCTCACATCCATCCTGTGAGGTAGATACATTAATTGAGCATTTTCACACTAAAGGACCCTGCTGGGTGCCAAGAGAGACAGTGTAACTGAGCTCATCACATACCCAAGGCTGTGGCTGACAGCTGTAGGATGGGCAAGAAAAGACAAGCACACAACTACAGCACAAGGCAGAGTGGCAAGTGAACCATAAACAAAGCTTTCTCCATGCTCAGAGAAGGGCAACATTCTTCTGCCTGGCAAGTTAGGGAAGGCTTTCTGGAGGAAATGGTGTTTGAAGGAAATATAGATAGAATTTACTAGGTGCAGATGGTGTGCTAAGAAGGCATTTCAGGCCATGAGGACTGCAAGAACAAAGGTAGTCTAGGTAAAAGGGAAGAGTGTGTTCAGGAAAGAAATGGAGACCCAATCCTGCTGGAGACTAGAGTGTGTATATGGGAGGTGACTTTTTCCTGCTGTCTCCTGCAGTAACCACACCAGCTCAAAGAACGGAGGCCCCTCCAGCACACCACCCCTCTCCAACCACTCCAATCACCCACCGTCCTCGAGTTTCCAGAGCATCTTCAGTAGCAGCTGCCAAGCCCACAACCCTCCTGCTATCCACCACAGCCTCAAAGACCTCAGTTCAGGAGGGGCTGCTCAGGCCCCAGACAGCCAGCTACAACCACCACAATAGGCTTCATAGGCAGAGGTAAGAAGCCTCTACCATCCAGGATGGGCTAGAAACCAGGCAAAGTAGTCTAGAGTTAGGAGATCCACTGAAATCTTCTTGAAATGTCTACCAGTTGAGACCCCTCTTGGCTTTGCCTCTAGAAGGCCACTTTGAAATATACTACCTATGTATATGGCACTCATTAGTGCCACTAACAAGAATAACACTTGTCAATGCCCTAGCAGGAGATCCTGTAGAAGTGAGACCAAATCTTTCAGTCACTCAGTATTTATTCAGATCTGTTTTGATGGGGAAGAACTAAGTGAGAATAAAATTAGCTACTAGTAAAATTACTTTCATGTGTTTCCTTTTACTATTTCAGCGTGGCTACCAGGAAATTTAAAATTATATAGGTGGCTCACATTACATTCTATTGGACAGCACCAGTCTAAAGGCTGGAGTGCAACCCAGGAAACTGCTGCAATGGACCACTAGGGGGCAGCATTAGAGCAGAATCCAAAGAAAACCTATAATAACTGGAATTACTTTTACTTAAGCAAAAACAATCACGCTAGTGAAGAAACGGACCTCCAACATCATCTGGGTTTTATACATGAGGAAACTGAGGGCATGAGAGCTAAGTGGTTTCAAATAGAACCAGGACTCCTGACTAGTAGTTTAGAAAATTACACCGGCCTACCAGTGGAGAATTCAAGTCAATTCAACCCACATTTTCCTAGTGTTTACTATGTGCGGGGCATTGTGCCATGTCCTAAAAATGTAAAATGAAAACATGCAATATCTGGATCTTACTAACTAATGCAAGTCTGACTCTGATAAGGGTTGTAACGGGTATGAACACAAGAACTGGGGACGCAGAGAAAAAAATGATTCTGGTTTACCATGACTGGGGAAGAAAAGAGGACTTACCACCTTTTTTCAGGAAAGTAAGATTTCAATACGTAGAGAAAATGGAGGGAAGACTTCAAGGGAGAGGGAGCACCGTGAGAAAAAAATCCTCTTTTCCACAGTTATTAGGAGCGAATTCATTTAATATTTGCAATAATATTGTGAGGAGACTGAAGTACAGAAAGTTGGAAGGGGAACCGACATTTATCGACCGCTGCTTAAGGCCGGGTGCCTTAAGTTCTTTATATCCACTATTTTGTTTTATCCTTTAACACTTCTCTGCAACGGGTTTTACTATACCATTTACCAGGAAATAAGCCTCAGAGAAGTTAGGAGACTGGTTCATGACTGCACAGCCAGTAAAAAGCTGAACCTGAATTTGAATGCAGGTTTCCTGACTCCAGAGACAAGGCTCTTTTGGGGAAGGGACAAGAATTCTGTTAACAAAGGGACAAACTTGTGAGCCATCTCCAAAAAAGTTGGCCGCCGTAAACCTCCCTCCCTTACTGACCTCTTCCTTCTCTCTGCCTCTCCTTCCCTCCCCAGAGGCTTCAACCACGGACCGGTGTCTGGGACGGAAGAGCAAGGATTTCACATCCTGATCCCCACCATCCTGGGCCTCATCCTGCTGGCGCTTCTGGGGCTGGTGGTGAAAAGGGTCATTCAAAGGAGGAGAGGTCAGAGCGGCTCGGGGCTCGGTTAGAGGACACTCAGGGGCTTTAGACGAGCGGCCTGGGGTATGGGGAACGAGGGGTGGGGGTCAGTGGTCTGGAAATGGGGACGAGGAGGAGAGCGGCCAGGGCCCTCTGGTCTTCAGCGAAGGGCAAGGCTGTGCCCCATACATTCTGGCCATCTACACGTCAGGCATTGCCGAGCACGGGGGACGGAGGCTGCCTTTAGTTTCCGAAGACCCGAGGGCGGCGAGGGGGTGGCCATGGACCTCTGACGCCATTTTCCTCTCTTTCCCTGGGGCTTCGGCGAGAAGCTCTCTCCAGGGGGGTCCGCCGACTGGCCGTGAGGATGCGCGCCCTGGAGGCCTCGCACTGGCCCCGCGTGTCGCAGCGGCCGCGCTCCCAAAACAACATCTACAGCGCCTGCCCGCGGCGCGCTTGGGGGGCCAACGCGGCGGGTGAGCTGGAAGGGATAAGCGGGGCGTGGGGGGGTGGTGAGCGGGGGGAGGCTGGGCTACGGGGTGGGGGGGGGGCGGTGAGCAGCCGGAGGCTGGGCCCGAGCGCCTCGGGTGCGTCCCGCGCGCGGCGCCTCCAGGACCGCCAGCTCCGCAGCGCCCGCCCCTCCTCCCAGGGCTGCGGCAGGGCTGGGGGCGGGGCTGGACCTCGGCCCCGCCCTCACCGCGGCCTGCCCGCTCCCTTTAGGTGAGGGCGGGGCGCGTCTCCCCGGCCCCGGAGCGTCGGCGCGCCCCGCCCCCGATTGGCAGGCGCGGCCCAGACCGGGCGTGGCCCGGGCGCAGTTACCCGAGCTGCCGCTGAGCTCGACGGCGCCGGCTTTCACAGCAGCTGCTGGACCACGAGTCGGGACCAAGGTGTGTTGGTTTCCTCCTTTGGTGGTTTCAGGAGAGTGACTACCCAACGGCCGTGGCAGACTTAGTTATCTGGCTTGTAGCCAAGCGTTTCTCATGGGATAAATGCGTGCCTAGCAGAGGATAAAAGATGCTAACTCTACAAATACGCGTGAAGGGCTTTCCTGTGGAAGAGATTCGATTTCTAGAAGGCCTTAACGGGGTAGAAGCTACCCAGCTTCACTTTACTCTGAGGGAGAACTTTCTAGTAAACTCTAAGATGAGAAGAGGTAGTTTACCCATCACTGGAGGCAGTTAAGCCTGGCCTAGAGGATGACTTAGCAGACGTCAAGATGTAGATAGGATTCAACACTTGGGTGAGGAGGATGCCTCCTGAAATCTAGGAAGGACATAGGGAACTCCTGTTTCGATCGATGGCCATCGGCAGATGGGTGAAAAGCCTTTAAACTGTCCATTCATCTTTCTTTTCCCAAATTAAGAGAAAACATTTTTATTCTCTATGGTAGCCAACAGTAGCTAAAACACTATTACCTCAAGAACCAGGAAAAACTGTGTGGCAAATGTCCCTGTTTTAATTATGGTCTAGATTAAGCTAATACAGCAAACCCTAAACCACAGGGCTCACAAGATGGAAGCCTGTTTTCCTCCCTAGTAGAGGCAGAGAGCCAGGAAGAGGTGGCGTGAGCCACCAGGTCATCCAGGGACTCCAGTGCCTTCTGTCTGGTTGCTCCACCATCCCCTGGAGTCTTGCCTGGTCCACGGTCCATGCTCAATCACCAACACCATGTCCACATTCTGGCCCACAGGAAGGAGAAAGAGAAAGCTGCTTCTTTAAGACCTGACCCTGAAGTTTCACACATCACTTCCACTCACATCCCATTGGCCATAACTTAGTCATGTGGCCACACCTACCCTCAGGGACACTGGGAAATGCAGTCCTTGGCTGGGCAATTGTGTCCCTTGCTACAAAGGGGAGAGCGATGCCCAGCAGCAAGTAACAGCTCTGCCACAGTCACCTCCAGCTTCTTGAGGGTGCCCTTACCCAACATTGCCAGAGAAGCTTCACAGTAGCTTAGGTAGGTCCAGCAGGACCCATCTACTCTACCCTTACACGGCCCCTTTTCTTTTGAGCTGCCCTGTGACCACACATACCGCCGACTGGGCCTGTACCTTGCTCAGATCTTACCACCTCCCTGCTTGAAACTCTCATTCCTGCTATTAGGGACAAAAATCTTGATGGAACAAGTTTACAACAAAGTGCCTATGATTAATGACTGAATATTTTAGCCTTCACAGGGAATATCTTAATTTTTTAAGCCAAATAAATTAGTCTCAAATGATGAGCTGTAACAGGCGGTAAGAGATGTATTTTTGAAGCAAGCTGCCACTCATTTCCTTTCTGGTAAAATACAAAAAGTAACATTCCTTTCCATGAGCACTTACTGAGTGCCTACTGTGTTCAGGGGACTGGACTTCCAGTTCTCAGCACTTGTGTTTAAATACGTGACTCTCCCTACCGCAGCCTTCTTGGGTATGTGTTACAATAATTGTGCCCTGTCGGGGTCATGGTACAGCCCTGTCCTCTGAGAACGGACCCCTCCTGAAGGTGGATGATCCTGAAGTTTCTGGGGAAGAGGAGCACCACTGGCCCATGTGGCCTGCCACCTTCCTCCCCTTCACCACCCAGTCCCTTCTTGGAATGCACTGTGCCACGTCACGACTTCCCCGAGCCCTTACAGAGGTTCGGGGCATGACTTGCCCTGCTTCGGAATAACTCCCTAAGAAGATGCATATTTATGCTGCAAGTCACGTCTAATCCCAGAGGGGAAACTCTGGCAGCTGAGTCTCCTTCAGACCTGTGCTTAGCCACGTGATCTTAGCCTGAGCCCCATTTAAGGCACTTTCTGCCCACATTAGATCTAAGTGTTTTCCAGTGATGCATCTTTGGTTGTTCCCAGGTGTCTGAAGCTCCCTGGCCCTATGCCCCATCTCTGAAGACCAGCTGTGAATATGTGAGCTTCTACCACCAGCCTGCTGCCACGATGGAGGACACTGGTTCAGATGACTACGTCAACATTCCCTGCCTGACTCACCTCTCCAGCTGTCCCCCTGGGCCCAAACCTTGGTGCCAATGAGTCTTGTCTGTCTGCTGGTTTCCAAAACCTGCTCCATCTGTTTTTGGAGCCCTCATTACTCCCACATCCCCACCTCAAGTCTCGTGCTTGTCTGACTGCCCTGAGCATAGCCTTCTTGGGTGGATATTACAATAATTGTGCTGTGTTGGGGTCATGGCACAGTCCCTGCAGCTCTTCTTGCACACCTCTGCAGCCCCCTGTGGTTTTTGGGTGGGCTCTGGGCATGCAGAGCATTTGTCCCGATGCCTCCTGCTTCCTCTCCAAGCTGTGTAACAGGCTGTGGGGTTTTCAGAGTGTCTTTGATCACAGGGTCTTTGCTGCCCAGGCTCTGGACCGTGTGGCTTGACCTTGGGCTGGAGCATAGGCATAGCTGTTGATTCTGGAACCCTTCCCGGGCTTGGGCTTCACTCCAGTAGAGGGCCCCTGGACTTCATCGTGAGGACATGCCTCAGCCCCTGAGCTGGGAAGGGGCCTGGTAAATGCCCCTGGCAATGTCTTTGCCCTCATCTTAAGGCTGGCACTTACTAGTGAGCTTCTACTCATCTTGAGTCCTATGCTAAGAGCAATTAATTTTGATGTGATGAAGAGTTCTAAATTTTCGGAACCATACTTGTTAGTGTTATGTGTGTATATATCCCTAAATCCTCTTTACTCTCTCTCCATCCCTTGATGCTCATAAGTACCCCAACCCCAGCATTTCTCATCTTTTAGAAATAGAATTGTTTTTGTCATCTCTTTATCCTTTTTCCATAGCCTAGTGCTGATATTTGTGCACTCATCTTAACATTGGTCTATTTTAGCCATCCAGAACCATTACATCTCCCTGCTTTCTGAAAGGCGCCTCGTCTCTTTGCCAGTTCCAGGTCATGTATAGCAAGGTGGGGAAGGACAGTGGTGTGGGATTCCTGAAGGCCGGGGCCTCTGCAATAGCACTTATGTCGTGGAGGAAGAGCTGTCCCACCTCCTGCGTATACTCTTTGTCTTAAGTTTCCTGAGCAAGGGCATAGCAGACATTCTGTCTTTGGCTTGAAGTCAACCCCAGAGCTCATCCAGAGCTTGAGATTAGAGAATGCCCAGTCTTGCTGTGAGGAAGAAGGCCTTTTCCAAACACCCAACTCAGCCTCACTGGGCATTTGTCCAGAAATAGAAAGGGAAGTCTTCCAGACTTGAGTTCCCTGCCTTTTATTAGGAGGGAACGTCATCACAGATTGGACAGTACACCCAGGTACGATGACCCCATCAGCAACATCAGGCTGACGCTGGCACCTCTCAGGCAGCAGATAAGGGAAGAATGAGTAGGCTAAGGAAGGAGGGCACCAAGGGGAAGGGATGGTAGGAGTGGAGTAGGGAGTGCGGGCAAGAAACGAAGTGTTTAGTGAGAGCCTGCTTCGTGCTGGGCACTTTGCCCACAATACATCTTTTATCGTTTATGTTTCAAATGGGTGCCCCTGGGCACCCCCAGCCCAGTGCTCTGTTCCTGCAGATGTCATGACAGTGTGATTTCCATGCCGTAAAGTTCAACTTCATACCCCAGCACCCCTCATGGTTCCTCAGCAATTCAAAGACAGGCAAAAAATCCAGTTTATTAAGCATTTACCAAGCACCCATCCACTACCCCACATGATGGCAAGGATTGTAGAGGATAAAAGAGAAGCACGGGGCACTGTCCCTGCTGCCTTCACAGAATTTACAGTCTCACAAATAAATATGGCATCAGTTAAAACACTGACAGGAATTAAATAGAATTGTAATAAATATAAGAATCTGCTTTGTAGATTATTCACAGCATCCAACGGAACCTCCCATGACTGTCGTTGGGGCCACTTAAAGAATGAAGTCTTTGAGGATAAGCCTGGGCCAAGAACGGGACCCCTGGTCAAGAGTGTGAAACGCCCAGAGAGCATCACAGGAAGGCACACTTGTTTGAAATGACACGGAGAACAAGGAGGGTATCTTGGTCTAGGCATTCAGGGCTGGTAGAATTTCTCCATCCAGGTCAAGAGAATGTCCACTTCTCCAAAGGCTTTGGTCAGAGCTGCTTCTATGTCCAGCTAAAGGAAAGGGAGAGATGAAGATCTGTCATGGCAGCCACAAGAATAGGTTTCCTTCCCACCACCACTCCTGACACTGGCCTGACTCCTAATCACAGGTCTCCTCACCTTGGGATGGCCTCTGATGAACTCCCCTGCCCATCACTTGCTCCCTGCCTATGTGTGTTGTCTGCTTCAGGGTTGAGGAGGGATGGGCCAGTGAGTGACGGTGGGTAAGGAGCAAGGGAAAAGCAGCTGGAGCCCCTGACAACAGGAGTCCTAGAATCCCAGTGCAGGGTGACCTGGGCCACCTCCTGAGCCACTGTGCAGATGAGGAGACCGAGGCCCAGGTGGCCTCTTTCCATCGTACATTATTGCTCTTCACCATTTATTTAGAAGCTGATGTATCTGTTCCTCAAAAATGTGATCAAATTGTATGTGTTTTTGGGGGGAGCTGATGAAATTTGGATATTCTTTGTTGTCTTAATCTGGTAAAAGGCAGTATAATTTCCCATAATTTTTTTTCACAAACTAGACTATTTGAGCATTATGGAAAATACTGCAGATGTGTATGGGGGGGGTCTCCCTTCTTTCTCCCTCACTTCTGACTTCAATTGCCCAGCTCAAGTACTCAGAAAACTCACAGGGAAAGTCCCCAGTAGTGAAATCATCTTGTTGGGAAATAGAATAGCATTTTAACTTGAAAACTGGCAGAAAAATAGGCCATGTAGTTTGTGGTGCTTATGCAAAGTATATGCTAATTGAGGCACGCATACCAGTTCTCCTGCTAAGTCAGGTGGCTTTTGGGCAAGCCTGGTAGAGTCACCTGCATTGAATTCTGCATTATGTCCCTGAGGCCCCTTCGTGTGACAGTTCAGGCTAGTCTATGCTGGGTGGGCAAGCTCTCAGCTCCCGGCCTTGATTACCTGGTTAAATGCTTGCTGGAACAGCAGAAACCGCCTGCGTGCACTCTGGCTGATGGAAAACATCTCATTTTCCTGCTGGATAACAGAAAAAGAAATTGTGCCAAGTGTTAGGTAGGAGCAGAGGCAAGCCCCCTCCCACTCCTTCCTAGTGATGCCGGAGGGGTTCCCAAGGCCTAAGAGGCCAGCTCTGAATCCCACATCCGCAAGGTAGCCAATGCTGAACTCCCACCGTGTGGCAGGGGCTGCCTCCTTTTTTTTTTTTTTTAATTTTCCCCCAAAGCCCCAGTAGATAGTTGTATGTCATAGTTGCACATCCTTCTAGTTGCTGTATGTGGGACATGGCCTCAGCATGGCGGGAGAAGCGGTGCGCCAGTGCGCGCCCGGGATCCGAACTCCGGCTGCCAGTAGCGGAGCACGTGCACTTAACCGCTAAGCCACCGGGCCGGCCCTGGGGCTGCCTCCTTTAATTCCCACAGCAGTCTTGACAGGTAGGAGTGATGGTCCGTGTTTTATAGGGAAGAAAACTGGAGCCCGAAGAGGCTGACTGCCTTGCAAAGGGTCACCCGGCTGGTGAGAAGAAGATCTGGACTTGAACCCAGAACTGCTAGTTTCAGAGCCTGTGCTGTTTTCCATGACACACGTAACTCCCTGTCATGGAGTAAAAGCCAGGACCAGACAAGGGCCCAATTCCCATGGGCCGCAATCCCCGCATTGTTTACTCACACTGGGCTGCAGTCTTGACATGATGGCAATGAAGTTATTGGCCAGAGTGGAGAATGACTTCAGGATCCCGAATTCAGCTGCCTTATCATGGAAGTTTTTGAAAATAGTATTCAGGTAGAACTTCAGCAGGGCATGGATGAGGTAACAGCTTTCGGCGTCCTGGGGAGGGTCTGGATCACTGCGGAGCCTCTGCCCAGCCAGAACCCCCGGAGGAACAAGCCACATGCCACACAAGGCAAGGGAAGCACGGTAGAGGCCCGGATCTCCTAGGAGATGCTGACAAGCATCAGACCTGAAGGAGCCTTCAGGGGCCACACAGAGCAGCGCCGAACCACAGACCCAGAGAGGGGACTTGCCCGGGGTCACGCAGTCAATGGCAGACACAGCCTAGCTCCCAGGACTCTTGACTCCCCAACTGGTTAATGTCCCTTCGTCTACACCACATGGCCTCTCTTGTAGCTGTGGGAGGTGATGGACCCTGAAAAGCCTCTGGAACTTGGTGTTTGGAAGTTGGCAGGGACAAGGACTGGAAGGAGAAGAAATGAGGAGGAAAGAAAACCAATATCCTTGAATTCAGGGATTATACTCTCGTCCCTCAAGCCCACAGAGTGAAGTCAGTGCCTTCCAGGGATCGGGGCTCAGTATGTTTGTGCTCACTGACTAGACGGGTGATGAGAAGGCAGTAATGGGTGAAAAAAAAAGGATGGAAACAGAAGAGACCTAAGCAGACGCCCACTGGGCCTTCCCAAGCAAAAGAGAACTAAAGATGGATGGCAACTCTCTGGCTAAATGCAGAAAGATGTTTACAAGCCTTAATCCCTAACCCCCTCCCCATGCCATCACACACATACCCACACAACCCAGACACTGCAGTGATGACCCCAGACATTGACTTCTCTGGCTCACTGCCCAGCCCTGTCCTGTGTAGGCTTAACCTAGGGAGAAGTAAAGGGCTTCTGTCAGCCTCACCTAGACGGCTCGTCAGCCCCACCCACAGCAGACACGCCACACAGAGGGAGGCATCGTCCTTCCCCGAGGTCTGATTACCGAGACGTCCTGCAGGACCTCTTTCCGCAGCAGCCGGACACCGGTGATATTATCCTGGGCTTGCTTTGGGAACAGAAAGAAAAGATGTCTCTAGGTTGGGAGTCAGCATAGAAACCAACGTCGCGTGTATGTGCTGCCTCCCCAGACCCCTGAATCCATCTAGTCTGTGAGATCTCAGAGGCCAGAGAGACCATAGGAGGACCCAGGAAGGGCTGGGCTGAGCTGGCCTCTGGGGTGAGGGTACAAGGTTCCAACCACAGAAAATCACTAAGCTTGGTCCCCAGGGGCAGACTGAATCCCAGGGGATCTTAGAGCCTGAATGCGGACTTGATGAGGGACTAGTCTGATTCTCTTGGTCATTTGAGACAGGAAGAAATAAGCCTATTTGGTTTAAGAACCACTAGGGGCAGGATTTTGCCTCCATATTCCAAGGGCTGCGGTGGGGGAGGGGGAAGGCATGGGACGACGACAACAAGGAGCAGGTTGCACCTCCAAGCTCACGCCCTCCGAGATTGCCTGCAGCCCAGCCGCTCACCCCAGTTCTTGGATTTAAAGTTCAAGAATCCTTGTGAGGAAGTAGCTTTAGAGCTCATTTGTCCCACCTCCTCATTGTTCAAATAAGGAAACTGATGGGGGGAGTGGTACTGTACCAGTTGGTTTCAAAGTCAGGATCACACCTAGGTGTCCTGTCCCCTGTCCAGCACTCTCCCTTGCCCCTAGGCTGCCTCCTCAAGCTCCCTCTTTCTGCCTCGTGTCTGATCTTCTGGAAGGAGTGGGGAGCGTCCGTGAGCGCACGTACTGGAGCACCTTCATGCCTGGGAGACAGCGCGTCACATTTCACAAGCCGCCCCGTCCCACCTCAGCATTAACCACTCTTTCTGCCTTAGGCAAGGGCTAGGCAGGTGGGAACAGACTAGCAGGAGGCTGGCAAAGCAGTAGGCGAAAACTCCAGTGGGTCTCAAAGGATGTCCCGCGACTTCCCATTGGTGGAGTCTCAAGTCCCCATGGGACACAGATGAAGCCTGGATGAATCAGGCTCCCTGCTGTGTTCCCCTTGGGCTGTGTTTATTTTACTAGAGCCTGATCACGTCTTTCTGAGCCTCGATTTCTTCATGTGCAAGAGGAAATGTGGGCTTGTGATGCTTCTGACTTCACACAGTTATTATATAGGAAAATGATTAGCAAACTACAAAGGGCTCCATAAGCATAAAATATTATTCTCCAGCCACAGTACTCGCCGTGACTGGGTCCAGAGCAGCACCTCACTCACCACAATGTCCTTCACGACCCGGAAGGCCTCCCACAGTTCCTGGAGAACTACCCCCTCCACTTGGCAGGCCCCAAATTGGAACTCTTTGCCCTGGACTCCTGGCCCCTGGCTCCAGAGCAGCAGCATCAGACTCAGGCAGAGGACAGCAGCCATCTGCATTGGAGAGCCCATTTGCAGCAAAGGAAGGACTGGGAGGATCCTGCTGGAAGAAAGGAGGCATCCCACTGAGGCAGGCCCTCTGCCCCAGGAGGGATATACCCCAGAGTAATGCTCCTTGGCTCTGCCTCAGCCAGCATCAGGGGCACACAGATGGGAAACCCGAGACTAGGGTGGCTTCCCAGTGTTAGAATATTGCAAATATGTGGCCTTATTGGGTGCACTGGGGTGGGGCGAGTGTCTTTCTGCCCCTCAATCTCATACCGGTTGGTCTCACGATCTCACTATATGTCCTCCCCCATCACGCCCATCCACATCACACACACCCTGCACCTCCCTCCTTGCTCCATTGCAGTTCTCTCTAGCTAACAACCTGCTAGTAAGAATTTGACCAATGGGCCGGCCCTGTGGCTTGGTGGTTAAGTGCGCGCACTGCGATGCTGGTGGCCCAGGTTCGGATCCCGGGTGCGCATCGAGGCACCACTTCTCCGTTCATCCTGAGGCCGAGTCCCACATACAGCAACTAGAAGGATGTGCAGCTACGACACACAACTATCCACTGGGGCTTTGGGGGGAAAAAATAAAAATAAATAAAATCTTTAAAAAAAAAAAAAAAAAAAAATTTTAAAAAAAAAAAAAAAAAAAGAATTTGACCAAGAAGAGTGAAGAAATGGGGGGTTATAATGCGCCAAAGAACATGTATAAGGAGCCCAAACTTAAGAGGATAGAGAGCTTAACTAGGTATTTGCTTGTCTGAGTTCTGCCCTCAGACAAGCAGAACTCAGACTTGTTCAGGGGGCCATCCCTGACTCCTCATCATGAGGGAGCCGAGGGGTTCATCCTGGCCCATAGGGAGGGCACAGTCGGTAGGTTAGGGGCACACACTCACTCTGCCACCTCAACTGACCGACTCACTCTTGACTCTAAGAGTTAACTTTTCAGGTATCTGAAGAAGAAGAAGGAATCAGATTTCCAGATGATTCACCTTTAAAACCTCCCGGGGCCAGCACCCAGTATCCTTGTCATGCTGGTGTGTGCTTCGCGTTTCCCTCAAAGTCTTCCCATTCTGTTCTTCCAAACTCCACAGGCTTCGAAATTCATCTCTGGGCCTCATAATCCTCCTGGCCTCCCTCCCATCCAGCCTAAGTCCTTCTTGGTGTTAAGCTGGAGAAAGCAGCGCCCCATCTACAGTTACACCTTACCCTCACAGAAACACTGGACATGTCGCCCTCTGCTGCTCCCCTAGCCCCCCATTCCCAATCAGGCAGTAGTCTCATGCTTCAAAGCAAAGTCCTCAGGAGTCCCCCGTCGCTCACCTCTGTCCTGGAAGTGATGTTTGAGGGTTTCCTGTTCGGAGGTGGTGGCAGCTGTGACAGAGGGGGAGAGTCGGGCAGCGACTCTCCACCCCTGACCTCCGCTCAGTGATCAGGGGTGTAACTGTGGGCAGAAGGTTCCTTCCTCAGCTGTGGAAGTTGTTTCAAAAGTAAAGGTGTGCAGGCAAACACGGCTTTGTGGAGATTCATATATATGGGGGCTGGGGGAGGGGTGGAGGAAGAGGAGGGAGGTGGAGAAAGGGAAATTGGTCATGCTTTCCTAGAGAATTACTTCATTGCCTAGTCACCCCTCACTTTAAGACAATGGGCGATGGAGAAAGCAGGCCCTGAGGTGAGATGAGACCTGGCTCTGAGTTCTGGCTCTGCCCCTGGCTGTGTGACCAGGAGCAAGTCTCCTAGCTACCCTGAGCCTCAGTTTCTGCATCTACAAAATTAAAAAAAAGAAGAAGAAAGAAAGAAAAATTTGTCTTACTTCCTCCAGAGGGCAGGTATAAGGACCAAATGGGGAAATGACACAGAGGTGCTTTGTAAACTCTATATACGTGTAAATTCAGTGTTACTGTGCAGAGTACACCTTACTGCCAAATCCTTTAATAATTATCCCCTATTAATGATGAGACAGTAACTCAGAGGCTAAGAATAGCCTATAAATATTTCTCCTTTAATTGCTCAGGGACAGGAATTTTATGAGTGTTTCCTGACATGCAGCCTCCCATGGCCCCTTCTTAGGTTCAGGAAGAATAAGGAAGTGTGTGCACGTCCAGGTCTGGAAAGCTGGGGACCCCGGTGTCCTGGCGGGCTAGGCTTGGCCTGTACTGCCCTGGGTGGGATCATCCAGGGGTGCAGGGAGCATGGCATGCCAGGAGCGCAGTGCAGTCAAGAGACCCAGCCATATGTCCAGCAAGCAGGGCGGCCAGGCTTCAGTTCCCCAGGTGTCGTGAGGGGGTAGACTAGAGCAGTGGTCCCAGAATTGTCCTGAGGAACGCTTGTATGTAAGACACCCCATGAGACAAGAGGTTTCAGAGTCAGTAAATTAGAGAGGCCCGGCCCGTGCTGGCCCTCTTGGGAACATCGAGTGCTCTGTGGGGCAGGGATCTGGGCGTGTGTTTAATTGCCTTGAACCCAGCATTTCCCATAAGTATTTGACTACATCCCTGGGAAACACTGGCCTCTGAATCAGGGATTGGCAAACTGTGGGCCAAGAATAAGCTAAGAATGGCTTCGTCCTGTGACCTAAGATTGGTTCTTACGTCTTTTAATGGTTGAAAAAAAAAATCAAAAGAAGAATCTGTTGTGACACACGAAAATTATGTGAAATTCAAATTTCAGTGTCCATAAATCAAGTTTTGTTGGGCCACAGCCAGGCTCATTTGTTCACATATTGTCTATGGCTGCTTCTGTGCTACAATGACAGAGATGAGTCGTTGAGACCCTGTGGTCCACAGAGCCTAAAATATCTACTCTCTGGCCCTTTACAGAGAGAGGTTGTTGAGCCCTGCTCTAAATTACCTTCCTACACAAACACTCTAAGAGCCTCCTTAAACCTGAGTCCAGGCAAAGACACGAGAGTAGAAATGTGATGTGAGGGGCCGGATAACTTTCTCCAGCTCAGTGGAAAAGGAAGAATGGGGGAGACTGGGTGGAACAGGCCCTTCCCAATCTCTCCAGTTGGCAGACCCTTCCCAGTCTCTCTGGCACCAGCATCGGTTCCCTCCATCACACACGCGATGTTGTTTGTTTCCTTAAGCAGACAAAATACTTGCTGCAGTCCCCAGCCAGCAGCCTGGTCTGTGCCGCTGCCGTGACAGGGACCAAGCTTGGGTCCTTTGCTCTTGGAGAAACTGAGTCTTGCTCTCTAGCCCTAGGCAGGGGCCCACGTCAAATCCCTTTTTCCCCTTCAGGATCTAGGGCATTACTGAAAATCTCTAATTACTATAGGAAGAAGATGCCAAGAAGCATTGATGAGACAGAAAAGAAGACAAAGCAAGAGTGTTGGGGCCACAGAAGAGGGGGAGGCAGGAGAGGCTGGAGAGACAGGACAGCTAAGACAGGAAGCTGAGAGGGAAAGTGAGCCCCCAGGGCAGCCGCAGTCCTAGACAACTGTCTGCTGATAAGCAGGAGGGCGGGAGGGATGAGCTGTTAGGAGTTAGCTCGGTAGACTCCGGGATATCGACCTGAGGTCATGAGTCGGCGCGCACCAACGCACTGCTTGTTGGGCCATGCTGGGGCCGCGTCCCACATGCAGCAACTGGAAGGATGTGCAGCTGTGACATACAACTGTCTACTGGGGTTTTGGGTGGGGAATAAAAAGGAGTTAGCTCGGTAGACTCCGGGATATCGACCTGAGGTCATGAGTGGCTCATTCTGTCTAAGAAAGGAATACTATAATATGGACATTCCAGGAAAACACGTGCCTGACTCGCAGGCTTGGCTGAGCTATCATAGCCCAATTACCTGGGAAGGCAGGGCAAGGAGAGAACTCAAGGACCTTGGCCCAACATCAGCCGAGATTGCTGGTTCTGAGTCCTAGCTTGCACGCGGGTAGACCTAGGTTCAAAATGTGATTGTGTCTTTGAGCCTTCTGAGCCTCAGCTTCCTCGACTGTAAAATCCAGTCCTCAAAGGGCCATAAAGACACAATGACACAGCACCTTGCTACTCAAAGTGTGGTCTGCAGACCAGCAGCAATGGCACCATCGGGAGCTCATTAGAAATGCAGAATTTCAAACCCTGCCAAAATTGCTGAACCAGAATGTGTGTCTTAAGAAACTTCCAAGGTAATTCTTATGTATATTAAAATTTGAGAAGCATCTACACAAAACACATGAAGGACTTAGCCCAGTGCCTTCCACGTGGTAAATGCTTAACAAACAAGGGTTTCAAGTGTAAAGGGAAAGGACTAGAGCAGTGATTCTCAATGGGGCAATTTTGCCCCCAGGGGACATTCGACAATGTCTGGAGACAATTTTGGTTGTCATAACTTGGGAGTGGGGGTGGAGGTGGGGTGGAGGTGCTACTGACATGTGATGGAATGGGCCAGGGATGCTGCTAAACATCCTACAGTGCACAGCACAGCCCCTCACCACAAAGAATTATGTGACCCCAAATGCATGGTGCTGAGGCTAAGAAATCCTGTACTAGAGGACAGTAGTGGCTTTGGGGAAAGAGCAGAAACAGGAACAGAGAAGGATAAGAAGGAAATCTTATTGGAGAAGGGGCAGTGGACTGATGAGATGGTCAGGGGAGGGGAGAAACAAGATGGCAGCTTGGAAGACTGTGCCCAGAGGCTCTGGGTGGGAGCGAGCGGGTGAGGTCTGGCCCACTGACTCACCCAGGGAAGCTCCAAGTCCAGACTTTGAGATGCTGGAGAAAGTGGGGCTGGTCCTTTTTGCCCACATCCATGTCTTTTTATCCAAACTCCTTCTGGACCAGACTAAGATCTGAGGCTCTTCTAATCTCTCTAATCTCCATGCTCTTTGGAACTTGGGGAATTTCCTTTACAAAAATACTGGGTGCGAGAAAAGGTCCTCTGAGGATAAACTTTGATTTACAAGGCCACTTTTTTCCCCTAAAATACTCCTTGTTAGGTTTAGGGGGTTTATTCTGTTAATCTCATGCCACCTCTGTCATGAATGTCTCTCTGCAGAGTCTGAATTTTACATTT